GCCAACGTCATTTTGGCGGGAAAAACTGACGTGATAGCCGTCGTCATTTTACTACGAGTTTTAGCAACAATGTCGTAGTGTAAGTGGGAACAGGTTATCAAATGTTAGGAATGTTATCATTTAGAGATCAGGAGAGGGCTTTACCTCCTTCAACGGAATTAAGAGAGCTAACGTTTGCGGTGAACAAATCAGAAGTACAATAATGCCTTCCGGGTGTCTATTTCAGAGAATCAGCGAGAAAACTTAAAATTAAGTGTCGTTCTCGTAGTCGTCCTCGTCCTGGAATCTAAAGCTCTCTAATATAATCTCAGATTCAAATTAATTTGTGAGAAAAAGCTATGAACGACCAAACGTAGAAGATTAACATCATTCTTCCGATAACTTATTTTCGTATCTGGACAATTGAGAAAATAAAAATAAAAGGAAAAATTATTGACGTTGTGACCTGGGCATGCTGATACTGAAATTAATTTTGTATATTTAAGCGCTTTCGAAATATTGTCAATCAATATAATTATAATAAGATATATCTTAGGAATTCAGTAATTATAAGTAATTATAATTACTGAATTCGGCTCTCGCATAAATTAGGAAGAACAACACACCTGACAGCGTCTTTCTCGGTCTACACAATTCTTTACATCATAGTCAGCCTTACCGCCCAGTTGTGACTGCTGAGAGTCGGGTGACTCAGCGTACCTGTCTTTTCAAAATTGCGTTCGTCTTCAGTAACAATCATTTAAAGCACCTGTTTTAACGCAAAATGTTTGGCCTATAGACGGATATGTGCCGCTTAAGTTGTTGACCCGAAGTCTTTAAAACTGTGAAGACTGAAGGTGAGTGGTCTTCATTCGTCAGGCACCAACATTTCTTTCCCAAAAATCAAGTTCCATGATATTAGTTTGGAAAAATACATAATTCTCTACGCAAAATGAAACGAATCACTATAGTCTTAAGAAGGCGGCTTACTACAGTTCTGGGATAAAAACTATCTACTTTTTCAAACTGTAACATTTTAGCAATGCAATTAATGTAAATCATCATTTTACTTACCTCCTAAAAACATTATGTTGTGCAGTATAACGTGAAATATAGTGACAAAGCGCCCAAAAAGGGGACTGGAAACCTACGCTCGTGAATATTGCGTGCAGGCAATTTTCCTGTGGATCCACAGATGCTCGGAATTAAATGCATGGCTCCAAAAGGCAAGGAGGTGTTTGTTTGCGACGGCCCAAGTGAGAATAGGAATCCAAATCTGTTAGTTTAACTTAATCCTCGAAAATATGGAGAAAGGTTTTCCCGGGAGAGAGGGTAACCTTCCCAGCCGAGTCAACTTTAACGCGGAGCGTTTATATGAACAAACCAAGAGCTGACAACAGAGCAAGTGCATGCTTTGATTGTCTCGTCTTGACCAAGATAACCCGGCTCGGCGAACAACTTGGTTATGTGAAGCAAAGTTGGCCCGGCTAGGAGGGTGACTCTACCATCGAAATATGTAACCTCGATAGGCGTGTCATCCTAACTGTCTAGCCAACTCTTTAATTGCCGTTAACGGCTGGCCAAGTTCTTTAAGGTAATGTAGGAAAATTTGGCTCACCCAGGATACTAGCTCGGGTAGGCAAGTGATCCCTCTATCCGAGACAAGTTTTCTCCATATAAACCGCCTGGTCTTAGGAACTTGCTGCTGTTTCAGAAGGTTGAAAATAACATTAAAATAGCAAACTAATGAAATTCTTGACATATTTCTTTATGTAGCCTGCTACTGAAGTCAAGATTGCGTGTGCCAAACACAACCGCTATGGATGGAAATGCAGATATTTCTAAGCACACCTCCACAGGAGTACGTCCAGACAAGTACACACTGGTCCCAGGTGTAGTAAATATGCTGGAGTCACGTGTCATGCTTTCTGCGATCCTGGCCACCATTGTTGTTCATCTGGTGTCCTAAAGGGAGACCTTTAGGTGCAACTACTTACATCACTGTAAATGAGACTAATGCTTAGTCGTTAGCGGAGGAATCCCGATTCTGATTGAAACCCTACTCTTTTTGGTTTAATTTTGGTTTTGTTTTGTTTTGTTTTGTTTTTTTTTCTTTTACACTACTCCCCCCCTCCCCCACCTCACTTTATTTTATTTTATTTTTTGCTTTCTTTTTCTTTGTTTTGTTTCTCCCTTTTTATTCAGTCATATGGGGAGTGTATAATCACGACGCAAATTCACCCTATATGAAAATTTGGTCACGCATAATAAATCCATTCAGGGTGTCGTGTTAAATTAGTAATTTACCGTGGTCGAAAATGTACTGTCATTTTAACTACAGCTGCAGTTTAGTTAATTCAAAGGATTTGTTTTAAGCCCCAAAATTGGGTCACAGTTTGACGGTAAAATACAGTATCTTTCTGAGGACTTAATTAATTGGCTATCTTGAATTAGGGACAAATTGGTTTCATTCAAGGGCTGATGTGGACTCCGGACTGAACATAGTCCGATGGCTACAAAATGAATATAGGTCTTTGATTGGGCTATTTTGGCAGAGATGTTGTTTCGGATAGCTCCACGGATAGCCGAATAAGATTTGGACTTCAAGTCAAAGGCTTGATGAGCAGTTTGGGTCTGAAACAGATGTTTTGAATTTATAGGATTTATAAGTGTTTCGTTTTCGCTGGTATCCGAATAGTTCAAATTTAATGCCAAGGTTCGGTCTTGAAAGCATGGCTCTTCATTTACAAATCTCTGTAGTCGGTTTGGTTTCTCTCCAGACAAACAGATCGAATCAGTGCTTTTGCCGGGATTCAGTAAAAAGAGAACGGCTTTTGTTGCCCCTTTTTATTCTATTTGAACTTTTCCTCAGAATTAGGCTCCAAAAGCTTTACTTTGTTTTTTAGTACTATTTGTCAAATATTTAGCGTAAAGTACATGTACTGATTTCATTAACCTTAGGTTTACCAACAGTCTTTAAGTCGTATTTTCGTATTTATGCTCCTTGCTCGCTTGCCAATAAACCATGTGCTGTACAATGTGCATTGCTAGGGATGAGCTCGGTTCGCTGGGAGAACTGAACGGACACCATATTTATTAGCCGTAAATTGGCTACTCAGTTAAGTTGCCGTTTATTGATAATACCAAATCAAATTACACTAAAACCGGAAATAAAAACCTCATCACAGCAAAGATGAGGGCAAACACGCACCGAATGAGAACTTAACGCACCAATGGGACTGATCCGAAACCATGGGCGGGGTAATAGGGTGGGAAAATGTTTGCCCTGCACCGAAGCTGAACTGAAAGAGGCCTGAAATCACATGTTCAGATGTTTAAGTATTTACCATTGTAAGTCCCGGATGCACCCCATCCGGGATAATAAAAACACCGCGCAGGTTGCTTTGTAATAAATGTCATTTTTTAGCTTTTGTCTCAGTTTAAGAAATGATTTTGTATTCTTACATTTGATATAATAAACTGTGCAAACGGAGTCAAGTCAGAAATTGTTTTTGAACTATTTCTACTTGCATACATACACTGCGCTTTCAATACAGATTGTACGTGTCCAGATATTTTTGAATCCGCAAATTTTTCTTAGCGGATTCAAAACTTTCCACGTTCACACGTGTCCGTATTCAAATCGAATTTGTCCCTTCCGGCACGTATCCAGATTCACCCTAGCACCCTGGACTCCCTCAGGAACATTGGCAACAAAGCATGCGTCATAAACCGCGCGAAAGTTTTATGTAGAATAGGGATCCGTAGAATATAGAGGAGAAGTGCTTACGTCATGTTGCCATCGTAGCAAAATTTTTGGATGACGGCAAACCAATAAAGTCACTTAAAAGTCTATTCGCACCATTTCAAACTTCCTCGATCTTACTCAATTTCATTTAATTTGGCAAATCTTGGCGAAGTTTTCTTTTGGGACCGTATCTATCCTTATCTAAGATTAGAAAAAGAAAGCGACAATTTTTGTGTTGTGTCCACCTACTCCATAACGCGGGCTCGTGAAATCAGGAAGTTGGAGGTCGTAGTGGTGCAACGATGGCGAAGAAATGTTCAAAAAAACGTGATTCACGTGCAAAGTTGTTGTTTGTTAGTAAACATATTATTTTTGCCGTTCTCCTTGCCTTCGTCGTCGTCGTTAGTTTTGTCATCCAGAAATAGTGCTACCGTGGTAACGTGTGCTGTCGCAATTTGTAATAAATTCATCGCACTGTGTAATACCTGTTGCAATTTGTAATGAATTCATCGCACTTTGTAATACCTGTTGCAATTTGTAATAAACCGTGTCGCAATTTGTAATAACTGTCCATTGCACTTTATAATAAACTAAGCTGACGCAATTTGCAATAATTCCATCGCACTTTGTAATAATTTTTTGAGAGTGATTGAACTTACTTCGTCAACATTAAAGTAACATGAATGGTATGTCATAAACAAAGATGATGACGTCTTCAAGCACGTAACTTACAAAATTACTTATATAATTCATATCTCCGCTTATTCAAACCATTTAACTTTATTCACGGTGCTGGGGGTCCAGGGGGAGCTAAACATTTTTTTTTTCATCAATCTTGATTAGTTATCTGACTTATAAAATTCTGTATTCTTAAACCTGGCTATTATGCTAGATGGTCTGCATGCAATGGTTACCCGGGGGGGAGGGAGGCGTACTTCCTTATATGGCCAATACGGGGATGTGCCTCTGGACAGAGCATTGTCCGAGTACAAAATCTAGACACACTAGACACAAACGAGCCATTATTAAAAGGCACTTAATTTCCACAAATCGTAACATCCATCCTTACATCATTCAAATAAGGACACAAGGAAAGCTTTCCTTTTTAGATATTTTAAAAGTTGACACAACACCGTCCTTTTGAGCTATGACTGACCCATACATTGGGAGCAGGCCACTTGAACTCAACAAATTAGCTGCTACATATATCATCTTTTTCTTGAGACACGTAAAAGGTTTTTGGGAAGAAAATGTAATGGAACCGCTCTCTATGCTAGTCCCCTGTTCCTCTTTTTCTCGCTGACGGTGTTGTCTTCGTTGTGCTAAACGATGGTCTCTGTTCCGTGCTTTCTTGCTGTCCGCTTTTTTCTTCGCTGCTCGCGATGGATTTCAAGTCGGCACTCTCGCTCCAGAAAAGTTCAGTGGTAAACGAGGAATTCCAGCCACTTGTTGAATCCAGCGTTGCCATTGTGTTTGTATGAGAAATTGCTCCTGATTCAGCGAATGTAAACATTGTCTCACTCACCTGTCACAAAAAAAAAGGAAAACAAAAAGAAAAAAACTAAAACTCTTGAGATAAAAGGATCAATGCTATCAACAAGAAATATTATAATATTCTAGAGTTAATATTATTGAGGTTATTGAAATTTTTTGATAGTTTCAAATAGAATACCGTTTGCCAAAAACACACGTTCACTTCAATGCGATCAATCTGAGATCCTCAGCATATTAAATACAGTCAACAAGGAAGCTGTTAGGCAAAATGCGTACGCACTACAATATTGAAACACAGAAACTAAGAGGGAATAATCCCTCTCTTGCATAATCTGAGACCCCGCGCAAGCAATTGACCGCGCTGATTTCAATATCAAATTGCATGGGCTAACGGGATTTGTAAATTCTCTTCGGTTGTGTGGCATTAGAAGAAAATTGACTTCTGTTCGCTATTATTTTAGCTGTTGATTACTTGTGAGATTCTTTAAATGATTATGACACGAAGTATTTCTGAAAGCAATTGTGATGTTTAATACGTGCAGAGTGGAATTAGCAAGGCTATTATTTTGGTGTAAATATAGGCTGTTTGGTATGCGAGTCAACCCCAGTCGTTACGCTTCCTTTTCTGCGTGAAAGTTTAATTCTATATTTTATCTTTTATTTTTTTTTTCGGCCTTGTAGGATCGAAGGTCGTGGAGGTTTTGGGCTTGGATCCTACCCAGGTTTCCCTATTTTTCCCGCCCTCCTCGCGGGTCTTTTGTAGAGGTTTTTCCCGGCTTCCGAGTGTCTCTTGTAGATACGTAAAAATATCATCCAAAACGAGATAAACTAACATCAAAGCTAGGATTCGAGCCAGGACTCCAGCTTGGACTCGAGCCAGGACTTCGAGCCTGGACTCGACCCAGGACTTCTGTAAGCAAAAAAATAAATAAGTAAAAGTAATTAATAAACCAATAAACAAGAGTAAAATATAAGCAACAAAAAGATCTTCTAACCTAACTCGCAACTTCCTAACCCTAACCTAACACTAACCTCTAACCCTAACCGTCTTCTCAATGGTCATGTGACCTGCAGGAGGTGAAAATGGCGGGAAAGTGAAAGGCTCGAAATCCTGGCTCGAGTCCTGTCTCGAGTCCTGGCTCGAAGTCCTGGCTCGGTATATATAGGCATCCTCATCCAAAACTCTGTTAATTTCTCTTGATGTATTCTGTGGTGTATTTTTCACAATTTCGTTTAGTAGGCTCAGTTTGGTCTCCAAATAAAGCGTAGAGGCCTATTACGACTTAATAAACCAGAAATGTTGTTGGTTGTGTGTTGTTGGGAAGCTATTGTTAGGAACAGAATAAAAAAACTCACATATTGCAAATCGTACAGCACCTCACACTTTCTTCCGGCTTTCGAATACTGAGACCTACACCTCTGCACAGATTTTTTCTTCTTTTTAAAAATTCGACAGCGCTCGAGTTAATCTATAGTACATAACAGTTCCCTGCGGTTTTTATTTCAAAACGTGCGTTCGACGATCTCTAAAAAGAAAATAGAGGGTGTGTGAACAGGCTAACTACTGAACCAGATTCTTCGGTACCAGTGGAGGAAATAAAGTTTAACACATCTGTGCAAAGCAGTAACACAAGAGTTGAAACATTATTAACCTAAAACTAACACACCAAAAAAATTCTACTGTATTTGAAACACACTCCAACGGTTCCACTAATTTTGATAATTTATTCCTTCCCGCCTCTAAACATCCTCCCCCATATCCATTAATAACTTACAGTCCCCGCTAAATAAGGCCCTGCTTACAAGGTAAAGAGGGAAGATAAGGGGGAAGGTAACCCTAGTGCCAGTGTTGCCCTAGCAAGAGAGTTACCCCAGCAATCGCATATTTCTTCTTTTTTCACATGACGTGTTTACAAGGAGGGTAGGGTTACCCTAGCGCTATGGTAACCCTATTTGAGTGCTAGGGTTACCCTAGCAGGAGGGTTACTCTACCTGCCTTGTAAACGTTCAGCTAAAGATAACTCGCCTGCCCGTGTCAACTTTCCGCCGTCATGCGTAACCAGTAATCGTGCCAATTTGAACGGTATTATCCAATTTCTGAGCTTAATTATAAACATATGAAAAACAAAAAGTTATTTTCTGTCTATGATGATAATATTTCCCCTTTTATCGTGAATTTAACGTAATTCCATAGAGAACTTCAAGATTATTTCAAATTTTGGACCGTTACACAACCTCGTCCCCAGTGCTTTTACCCATTTTTTTAAGGGAAAAGCACTGGGGACGAGGTTGCCCTAGCCCAAGGGAGTAATTATAGAAGGATGAAATTAAGCCTCGTTGGTGTATAGGTATACGTATAGGTATAGGTAAATCATTAATATTCACATACCTTCCTGCATACTAATTCGGTTTAGGTATAGGTATACGTATAGGTATAGGTAAATCATTTATATTCACATGTCTTTCCGCATACTAATTCGGTATAGGTTTACTAATGAGCGTCTCCCTTATTCAATAGAAACAACAGGTTTGCCTTGGCTTGCCCGTTAAGTAACTTGAGCCCAGTTTTCAGACCGTCTATTAAAAGAGAAATAGGAATAATAGAAGCGATCACCTAGCAACGCGAGAAACGGCTTCCTATATCTTATTTAGCGCTAAAACTCAGACATATAAACAAAACACATACACAAAGTGGAGTTGAAAAGTCTTTTTTTCAATTTAGTTTACGTCTTCTTATTTAGCTTTAAAACTCGGATATATATAAACAAAACACATATACACAAAGTGGAGCTGAAAACTCTCTATTTCAATTTTGTCTGACGTTTTCTGCGTTCTATCTCGAGGAAATTAAAAACTATTAAAAAGTCTCAGAGTTTTTTACGCACCGTTAGTCAGTTAATTATGCGAGTTCATAAGCCCAAAGTTGAATACAAATTAACTCTACAGGATAAACAATATAAACAATTTTAAATAACTTAATAAGGATCAATTAAAACACGCGACTAATAATTGCTAGCATTAAAACCACAAGAGAGATACCGTTTTAAAAACTTTATTAAAAAGCAATGACAAAAAGAGTCAAATACACAGCGATTTGTAAGTAATGGAAATTAATTAATCTTCATCTTCGTCGCCCATTGAGTACTTGTAAGGTTTGAATTTCGTATGCCGACGTGTCCTCAGCTGTTTGGCATGAGCTTTATGATCATCCAAATAATTTACAAATTGAATCCGATGCCTTTTGCGCTTCGGGCCTTGTTGTGATGGAGTTTCTACTGTGGGAGGAGGGGTCAGGAAAGCAGGATTTAAGGGTGGTGGTGGGGTGAGGCTTTCTTTGTCAGGTTTTTGAGAGATAGCCGCTTGTGTTAGTTCAGGTGTTACATTGAAGGGTTTGAGGGGCGTTGAGAATGCTGTCGTTGCTGTCGAAGAATCTTGTGTCCTTGATGTTAAGTCTTGAACACACGACTAATAAAGAAGGCCAGCACAAGAACATAAATTAACAAGAAATTTTCGGTCCATAGACAAAACGTTGACTTTCATAGCAAATCGAAAAAGTAGCAGGGCTTCTAGCAAAGCTCTTTCGTGCTCATCTATGTTGCTTTGTATTTCTTGCATAGCTTGAAGAAGCGAGACAGGCGAAAGAGTTTGCTGCTTCAGATATTTTAGAAGCTTTTGAGGAATATTTTCTTGAAACCTTGCTTGGTTAAAGCCTTCTTCACTGGGCAGGACGTTTGTTCGCAACCGACAATTATCTTCGGTAGTAGTTTTCAGATCAATCAGAAGATAACCAAAAGGTCTTTTTACAGCCTCTTTGTACTGATTTAAAAAGAAATCCGTCTGCCCGGGATACATTTGCTTGGCCAGAGTCAAGATTTGCATTTTGTCTCGTGGATTCTTGAATAACACCAGATAATGGCTGTTTAGGCTTATGCTGCGGCTACCTTTCCCCTGATAAAATAGATTCTGCACGATATAAATCACGCTCAGATTGCTATGATGAGAACCACGAGTAAAGAGGTTCACAATTCTCTTGTCTTTACTGGCGTCAATCATCTGATCATCAAACACGATCAAATTCCCTTTGTTCACTTCAAAATAGGAATCCTGCTCCAAAGACGTAGGAATTCCCTTGACGAATTCAATGTGTGGCATTGCGACTAACATTTGTGTATACGCAGGTTGCCATTGTGAATAACCCCAAACGATCCTCTCCGGGGGAGGGCAAATGGTCTCTGAAGCTTGTTGCAATAGAGATCGAACCCAGGCCGTTTTTCCGGACCCGGTCATTCCGGCAATCATGGAGGTGAAAGGATGCTCGAAGCGAAACCGCTGACATTTCTGTGAAAATATTGGAACTGTTTGAAATGGGGCGGGACCAGCATTGCAATGTTTAGACATCACGTGCCTTTGCATATTATCTTTTCTACTGAAGGATTTTTCGCAGACAGAACCGAGCCAACTCATGTCAACTCCTCAGGAGCAAAATATCAAATAGACTTCAAAAATTCTGCATTGGAGCCTCACTCTTTCGTCTTCAATTTTAGCCGACCCACTCAATAAACAATAAATAAGAACAATACTACCGAAAAATCATTACAACTGAGAACTTGATAAATAAACAATGAAAACAACAACTCAATAATCTCTCAAGGAGATCACCCGTCAAAGCGGATACCCGCGAGGTTTGTTCGGTTCGGAGGAAATTTTTACATCGCTAGTATAAATCTGGCCTAATTGTCACATTTGATCGAAGAGAGATATTTACGCAAAAAAAACTATCACAGGTCACAAATTATTTAGACATTATCTTAATATTTTACCTTAAACTGTCGAAATTACAGTATTGCCGCCCGCGGACAAAACTACAGCTTTTTTCCGGTTTCCGGTGTACATCAAACACAGGCATCACGCTCAATATTATCCAGACTGATAGCCATAGATCAGAAAAAATTACAATTAATAAATTTCACTTTTAAAACCAACACTACTTGTCGTAAGATTGGGCGCATCGCATAAGAGCTAAAGACTTAAGAGGGAGAGAAAATAAAAATCTACTGAATTATATACACCAACGATATGTACAAAAACAACAACTCTGTAACGATTAGCTAAAACACGATCGATTCAAGCTGTGATTTACTTTATACTTATCACCGCTTAAGTATGGACGCGCTGCCTGTAAGCCATTAGGAAGAGGAGAGAAAAATCTACCCAATTATCCAAACTAAAGCAATGTAAAAAAACTGCATTTACTAGCTAAAACACGATCGATTTTAGCTATGTACTATTCGCTTTAAAAAAATCTCTCTTCACCTCTTAAACTTGGGCGTGCCGCCTGTAAGCCAAGAGGGAGAGGAGAGAAAAATTTACTGAATTATCCAAACTAACACAGCGTATAAAAACTACAATTGGCTAGCTAGTAAAACATGATCTAATCAAGCTACGAGTTTTTTACCCTTGAAAAAAATCTCTCTTCACCTCTTAAACTTGGGCGCGCCGCCTGTAAGCCAAGACGGAGAGGAGAGAATAATCTACTGAATTATCCGACCTAACACAGCGTATAAAATCTGCAATTGGCTAGCTAGTAAAACATGATCGACTCAAGCTACGAGTGTTTCAATTTAAAAAAATCTCTCTTCACCTCTTAAACTTGGGCGCGCCGCCTGTAAGCCAAGAGGGAGAGGAGAGAAAAATTTACTGATTTATCCAAACTAACAACGCATGAAAACTTCAATTGACTAGCTAGCTAAAAAATGACGATTCAATCTACGAGTTTTTTACCTTAAAAAGTCTCTCTTCACCTCTTTAACTTGGGCGCGCCGCCTATAAGCCAAGAGGGAGAGGGGAGAATAATCCACTGAATCATCCAAACTAACACAGAATATGAAAACTGCAATTGGCTAGCTAAAACACAATCGATTTAAGGATCCGAGTTCTGTTTACTTAAAAAGCCTCTCTTCACAAAATGCGTTCCTATAATACATTCTTCAAAAATTGGATCTGTAAATCACTTTTGGTGAAAATTTAACATCCTGCAGAAAATACTAAACGAGCTGCACCCAGCGTGACAAAAATTGAAGGAAACCATCACATTCACGGACAAAACAATGTCGCCTTTAGCTATTCAGATCCAGGAGGCACTTGGGAGACGAATAAACAACCTAAAACTCTTATTTAGCCGCAAAGGAAGAGATTTACGTTTCAAAAGAGGTTGAAGAAAGTGCTCTTGCATCAGAGGGCAAATCATGCCGACCAGAAATAATAACCGCAGAAAATCAATATGCGTGTCATGACCTCTCAGTATGAAACAAGCGGCAAAATTCACTTTTACTCATTCAAAGAGTAGAACCCAGAATATAATATACCCACCAGAGAAAACAATTTTTGGAACAAGCAGCATTTTGGCACGAGGTAAAAGTCGTGTGTTGCCTACCAGCCCCCTTTTACACTCTGTTAGATGGTTCGAGCATTTTGGCGGGATCACGGCTCTTTTGGCGCGTGTTGTAAATGCCCTTTGAACTATAATATTTGCGCGTTATTGTATAGTGATCGAGGATATACACAATACCAAAGGCAAGTAAATATTTTCCTCAGTTTGCTTTTTCCTGGAACCACGATTTCTGTGTCGTCAAACCGGCTTCACCGATGTGCTCGAACTCCGCATGCGAGAGCCATAACAAGCTGCTCCTCTACCTTTTGAATAATAAAGTTCTCTCTTACCTTATATCGGCGAACACAGTTCCTGTTCCTCGGACATAATGCGTAATAACATCCAGAACTCTTCACGTTGAACGTTTGAAACCATTTCGGCGACAATATGTAACTTACCAGGTAACGTACTGAATATTACTTTGGAGGGTTCGAATTCGACCTTCATGAAGCGCTAGATTTTGCCTTTCGCTTGAGTAACGAAAAAAATATTTCTTTTTTTCCAAGACTTTGCAACAAGACCCTTTTTTAACACCAACCATGAATTAATTATTTTCATTAAGCGATTTTGACGAGAACCATAGCTGAGTTAAAATATCTCGCTCCGATGGTATAAATTCGGCGCGCAGAAGACAAGCTCTGATATTCGACGCAATTTTGTGTCCTGTCCTAAAATGAGTTTCTTGACAGATGAACTGACAGAAAGCGATTAATGAGCACACCTGAGGTGCGCAAGGAAATGTGTCAAGACTAACGCCTTGTAGTTACTTGAGTCCAGTTTGTGGGTATCTCCATGGATCCCTGGTGCGTGCACGAAAATCGACCTTGCGGCTCGTAATGACAGTTAGGAAACAGAAAAGTAGTAGCCCTGAAACGTCCACCGCCTTTCACTCTAAAAGTCCCTGTGAACATTGCGAGAACTCTAATGTGTACTGGACATTGATCATGAAATGTCCTAAATGCGTTTGGCACGTTTACTACAAGATCTGTCCTATATGCGATCACCAGATTCCCGATGGGAGAAATTACATGAAAGAGGGCTTTCGTCGGTGTCACGATTGGGGAGCAGTTACACACAAAAACGCGAAGACGTTGGAAACCAATTTCCAGGGTCGTAACCAGGTATATGGGATCAGGGATCACAGTCCCGGGATCGAGATCATAGACCCGGGATCCTGGGTCACAAGTCATGGGATCAGGATCAGCCATTTTTTGTGTGTGACTTTGAGGGATCAGGGATCGAGCTTTTCAGATACTTCATTATTAATGAGAAACTAGAATTCTTCGTTTTACAAGGAAAAAGACCTCCTTTCAGGCCTATTGAAAAAGCTTAAACCTCGCTTTATAATATTTTTGCGCTTCCGTCATGCAATCAGCAGTTTTAAAGCTTACCTTACTCGTATTTCATGGAAGACGTCCAGCGGTTTTACTGAAAACAAGGGTTTGGCTGGGGTGCTCAGTCTCGCAGGCTCATAAAACCTGGTCATATATTGCATTCACTCGCGCATTTGCGGTTTCCGCTGTGTCGGACTCTCGAAGAAGAGCAAGATGGGCAAGTCAAGGAAAAGAAGTCGAGAACGACGGTATGAAAATCGAACTACTATTTTCCAATTTTTACCACACTCTTGCCATATTTTTCTGTTCAGATCATGGTTGTAAAATGCTCTGCCCACATTGAAGGGCACTATTGTTTATATTTCCAGATCACGTTCCTATTCCTGGTCGCCAGCGAGAGAACGGAGAGAACGGTCACAGCGATCAGCGAGCCGAACGCGATCTTCAAGCCGGTCAGTTAAGTGTTCTACTAATTCCTCTATTCAGCTTGATAAATTATTCGACATTAGATTCTCATTGAAACACTGTAATTTATCACGCGATTATGGCTTCAAAAACCGTGACACGGTCTTCACTATTGCAATGTGCAACTGTGTCAGAAGGAGTAAATAGAGTAATAGAGAACAATGCATCAGATACATTGTCCTTGACAGATCTTAAAGGACATTTTTATTTATGAAGATCTCGGAAATCTCAGTCGAAAAGATCTCGTTCGCCGAATCGTCATAAAGCTAATTCGTTATTTGTAAATCTGATACCCTGTGTTATATGATGAGCTGATCGGTGCATGTAAAAGTCACGCGGGCGAGTACATTACCACTTTGTCACTAAAGTGTCAGCAAGTATATCACTAAGTACTATCGCAGATATCAAGCAAGCGAATAAGAGAAAATATTGTGGGCAGTGGGAGAAATAAAACGCTAAATGCACATCCTCGACCTTTAGATCAGTGTTTAGATACTGTTCATCCTAGTAACCAAAGTATTTTAAACGTGCTTTACTTCTGTCCAGTTTTTTCGAAGCCCTTGACCATCACTTTTATGCTAACAATCTATACCATGCTGCAGGAAGGCCACATTGACGATATGACAGCCAAATGGCTATCCCTAACGCCTAATCCTCCGCGTATCCCTATTTTCTACACACTTACAAAGATTCACAAACCGACGCCTGTCGGTAGACCTATAATATCAGGGTGCGATGGCCCCACGGAGCGAATATCTGCATTTGTAGATGGAATCATTCAGCCAATAGCACAGAAACAAAACTCGTATCTAAAAGATACGACAGACTTCATGAATTTTATTGAGAGCACAAAATTGCCTAAAAATACAGCCCTAGTGTCTATGGACGTTACTAGTCTCTACACCAACATACCACACAAAGAGGGCGTAACCACCGTATGTCACGCATACGAAGATTTTTATGGGGACAAAGCCCCTATACCCACCAAGTACCTTAGAGAAATGCTTTACCTTATATTAACAGAGAACTCGTTCCAATTCTGCGGTAGCAACTACCTACAGACCCATGGAACAGCTATGGGAACAAAGATGGCCGCTGCTTTTGCAAACGTCTTCATGGCCAGAATAGAAAGACAAATACTGAGTCAGAGTTGCATCAAACCGCTTTTTTGGAAAAGGTATATTGACGATGTGTTTTCGCTATGGAACACAAGTCTAGACAAAATAGAGAATTTTGTGAAAAAGGCAAATAACTTTCTCTCTACGATAAAATTCACGGGCTGAGATGTCAGAAACAGAGATCACGTTCTTGGACACAAAAGTGTACAAAGGAGTAAGATTCGAAAGGAATCAATCCTAGACGTGCAAACACATTACAAACCAACAGAAACATTCCAGTACACGAACTTCTACTCGTGTCACCCACCAGGCGTGAAGAAAGGCTTCATCAAAGGGGAAGCGCTCAGGCTTCTAAGGACTAAATTCTCGCAGATCACATTTGAGAGGAATAGCAGAAATTTTCACAACCGCCTGTTAGAAAGAGGCTCCCTGCCGCTATTTTAAGAAAGTACCTCTCTGAGGTAAAATTTGCCGAAAGGAAAACAGCCCTACAACAGAGAAACAAATCCGCACGCAAAAAACTCGTACCTTTTCTTACATAATATCACCCGGCTTTACCTAGCCTGAAGAAAATACTTATGGGAAAGTGACACCTTATACAAAACCAGCAACGACTAAGAGAAATCTTTAAAGAGCCTCCCCTAATATCTTATCGCAAGGCCCGGGGGGGGGGGTACTCGGGATTTCAAGTGACGGGGATGATCGAAGAATTTTTTTGGGTTTGAAATTTTCATTGCGGGATTTTTTTGGGTACGAAAATTTGGCTTGGGTTGCTTGATTTGAGTAGGGATTTTTTGGGGGTATTAAAAAGAATCAGATGAGGGAAAGGATATATTCAGATGGTATGAAGAATAAACAAACATGAGTGTTCAATTTCCAATGTTTTTCTTTGTGTTTTAGTATTACCCCTTTCTGGAAGTTTTAAGGGCCACAAAATCGGCATGGGATTTTTGGGGGGGTTAATTTTTGGTCCAGGGATTTTTTTGGGTTTTGCTGGAAGCCCTAGGGATTTTTTTGGGTCTTGACTTTTGGCTCCATTCGATCATCCCGTCATTTGAAATCCCGAGTACCCCCCCTGGGTCGCAAGGGAAAATCTCTTAAGGACCTACTAGTTAGAGGGAAGCTCTGAAGGTCATACTATACTTCCAATACGATTTAGTGCAGGAGTCGTGTGATGCCCGTCGCTTATTTTTAACCTTCTTCATAACTGAAAATTCGATGGTATAAGTTTCGTGCCTTATATAGATTCTTTTGCCATATATTTAGATTCAGTCCTTTTATTCATTTCTTACGTGACGTTAACTTGAAGCCGTCGAAACGTAGAGATTTAGTTTTTTATTTAATTGTCGTCTATATCTCGTCTACTTTTATCGCATTGTTTTATAGAGACATGTTTTCTATTGCTCATAGCATCATACGAGTTTTACATTTCTCAACCAAGAAAGTTTTGAAAAAGTCAGGTAATCAGGTAATGTGTAATGGACCGAGCATTTTTCAGAAGCAAGCAGAGAATTCAAAGAATTCCTTAATACATCATGGAAGACAAGATGAGAACGTGATTCAGAATTAATGAACAAATAACCATCTACTTAAGGTAAATACGCCAAGTTGTTATTAATGAATGATAATCGACGTCGGGGAAACATAACTTGATCACATCTCTCTATGGGATCATAAAATTTACGTGGGATCAGGGATCAAATTTTGCTACATTTTGGGATCAGGGATCAAAATTTCGAGCTAAAAATTGGGATCAGCGATGAAAAAATATACCTGGTTACGACCCTGAATTTCTATTTCCCTTCTAAAGAGGAGAACGAAGATGAAGATTAATTAATTTCCATTCCTTACAAATCGCTGTGTATTTGACTCTTTTTGTCATTGTTTTTCAATAAAGTTTTTAAAACGGTATCTCTCTTGTGGTTTTATTGCTAGCAATTATTAGTGGCGTGTTTTAATTGATCCTTGTTAAGTTATTTAAAATTGTTTATATTGTTTATATTGTTTATCCTGTAGAGCTAATTTGTATTCAACTTTGGGCTTATGAACTCGCATAGTTAACTGACTAACGGTACGTGAAACTCTGGGACTAATAGTTTTTCAGTCCTCGAGATATAACGGAGAAAACATCAGACAAAATTGAAATAGAGAGTTTTCAGCTCCACTTTGTGTATATGTGTTTTGTTTATATATATCCGAGCTTTAGAGCTAAATAAGAAGACATAAACTAAATTGAAATAAAGACTTTTCAACTCCACTTTGTGTATGTGTTTTGTTTATATGTCTGAGTTTTAGCGTTGCTAGGTGATCGCTTCTCTTATTCCTATTTTCTTTTAATAGACGGTCTGAAAACCGGGCTCAAGTTACTTAACAGGCAAGCCAAGGCAAGCCTATTGTTTCTATTGTATAAGGGAGACGCTCATTAGTAAACCTATACCGAATAAGTATGCGGAAAGGCATGTGAATATAAATGATGTACCTATACCTATACGTATACCTATACCTATACACCAACGAGGCTTAATTTCATCCTTCTATGACTACTTAAGGGTCACCCTCTCTCCTTGTAAACAGACCCTAAGACATGAGTGCACCATGATCATAGGTGGCAAACCGTTCAATTCACTTTGTTGTCTGGTCCGTGACTCCACACTGGATGACGTCAGCGCGGAAGCCGACCAGAAACCACTGATTATGGGGTTCCCATAGAGTCAACTCTCGCCTTGCGGACATCCCGTTATCACGGACACTCCGATAATATGGACAGAGCTAAATCCCAGGCAAAAACAATTTTAATACAGACGTTTGGCTAATTAAAGTAAACTGCCGCTATTACGGACTCTCGCTAATAAGGACACTACGGCTCGAGATCCCGACAAAATTGTTCATGTGGTAAAAATTGTCATATCAATGCTGTTTGTCGTAAATTTGAACCTAAATCTCTCTATTATCACAACAAAAGTGACCGGTGAACAATATCTAACTGGTCGTGCCAAATACTTTCAAATACTAAAACAAAAGAAAACAATGAAATTAGATTGTAAAACTACGGAGGTCCACTATCTAAATCGACGTTTACTAAAAAAAAAATCACTCTATCAGTTCATGACTAGGCAAATGATTAAGCAATAGTTACCACTTGAGATAATGATCTTGGATGCAAAAATGCTTACGTTTTAAATAAAGTAAATTTTGGATAAGGAAGTAGTTCAGTCAAACCATTGCGCCACAATTATCGCACTTACAATTGCAGGGAATTTCATCCGAAGCGAGGGCTGTTTCGATGGCGTTCCCTAAAGACTACGCATTTTTTGTGCTTATCTTGTTTCCTTGTTCTCTCCATGTAGTTCATGCATTGAATTACGCTACGTTTAGTTCTGGTGACGGCAATTTCATGTTGCATTGGGCCTATAGCAACAACAAGCTGGTTTTCAACATGACTTGTAAAGCAGCCGGATGGTGTGCAGTGGGTTTTACAGAAAATCCTGGCGGTGGAGGCATGGTAGACTACGATATCGCTGCCGGAGGGGTCGCTGCTAATACAGCTTATCTTGAGGTAAGTTTGTACGTGACCGACTGTACTTTTAGGGAAGTAATATAGGTAAATTGATCGTTTTACCTGGTTGCTAAAGAAAGATTGTTTGGATGAATAGTGATGAATAATGATATATTCGTTTGACAGTAATGTGCATAGCGGCGATCTAGGCTAAGATATGAGTTCGCCTTCAGAATAATTATTATTTTTGTGAAATACGGATCGAGTAGAAAGCAACAATTTGCGTACTCAGAAAGACAGTGTTGCATCTTGGTTGTTTTGGTAAAAAAAAAGTTACTTTTTGAACAATTTCCAGTTGATTGCCAAGATACCCACTCTCTTTTCAGTCTATTTACAGTGAAAGACGGCGTAGAATGATTTTAATTTGAATTAAGACTGCTTAGTGGAAAAAGCATAGTGTTCAACAAAACCGCCGAAGCTAGCATTGCATTGAGTGAATTGCGGTTAGCGCAGCACGAAACATCTGCACGTCCGCCTTATCGTGTGCCAACTACGCTAAATACTTCTGCGGAAATTTTGGACTTTTAGACTTCAGAACATTCGCATCTCAAATCTTCCCAGCTATTGCTGCAATATAATTCATGTCAGAAACACAAATCAGTTGGAGACACCAAAGCGCCTTTTCCGGATTTTAAGGCAATATTGAAGACCCTAGCGTTTCTTTTCTGTGAAGAGAGAATTTATTGTTGTAAAGTTATTTTGCTTTCGCTGATAAAAATATGAAAAGCCAATGTAGAAATGCAATATTCTTTAGTCTTAACTTCTCCAAGTTGCAAATAACCTGCTGTTCATTAGGCGTACTAATAAAGTTACAGTATTTCACAAAGTCATAACTGTATTTAGTCTTCAAACTGTAATCAACCCGTGAGAAGCCGTTATCCATTTGTGAAGCTTTGGAAGTAGGTACGGTTTCAAAACAGGCTTGGGTTTCCACCAATAGTCTTCTAGAGATGATTTTTGTGCTCTCTAATTTCACTCGTTGTGTTAATATCCGTGATCTGTAACGCTTCGCTAGCTTAGGCTTAAAAACGAGAGTGTTGTGAGGGTTTCTTTGGTTACATGTAGTCTTGGTTACGTTTTCTTTGTTATCTTTTGACTGTACCAGCGGTATGGTCTTGGATTAAGCTTCTACACTAGAGCCAGGTTCTGTTGTGATCATTGTCTCCAGGGTAGCAGCAGGCATAAGAGATTCCGCGCCTTCAGCCGGCAGCCGGCGAGGGTCCCCAGGAAAGGCCTTTCCCAGAGAGGTTTTTTAGAGTTTTTCCTCGTCCGTCAATTTACCCTTTTGTGAAGGCAAAACCTGTTTCCACACTAGTGTTTAAATGAAAAAGCTGTTTTCACAATTCTTTGGACAAAGCATTATATCTGCCTCACTACAGCCGAAAACTAACTATATGACACAAGCCCTGCAGCGGGATATGAAATCACGCTTGCAAGTCACTTTGCGCAGAACCAATGTGCGTGAAAATTCTTTATGAGCATCAGGTACGAGTAGCCACTGGCACGAGAAAACGGCTGTTAGAGAACGAATGATTTATTTGCTTTACTCAAGACATTTTTCGTTGACATAGAAGTCTATTAATATTTACGATTTTGTATACTCAAGGTTTCATTCTTTTCTGGTTTGGTTTGGTACGATTGTTTCTGATGCAACAATAGCTTGTAAGCCTTTTTTAAACAAAACTCTTTTTATGATCCTAAAATCCATATTTAAGGATATTGTGTATAACCTGAAAAAAAGTTAATTTGACTATTAAAGTTCTCAGGGGAATTTTTTTAAAAAGTCATGAAAGTGTGAAAAAATTGTAATAGATAACCAAAGAATCAGTTTAAAAACTTTCAAATTCAACTTTTTCAGTATACGTTAATAAAATAAACATGGTAGAGCGTTATTTCTCCAATAATGAAAGACATCTTTGGAATGTATACAAGGCCGGTTGGTTTGACGCACTCTGAAGTATTGTACGTTTTTGATATTGCTCTAGTATAGAGCAGATCTAAAAACAACTCATTGTGATTCGCATGACATGAAAATGATTTAAGTTTAATAACCCAACTTTTGAATACCAACAAGAAAAAGACCGGCTCGATAAGTACCCTTTCTGCATAGTTCGTCGTCTTTCTGGAACATTATGAAAGAACTCCGACGTTTTGGCTTTTTCATACATGTGATCTAGCCAGAATTTCATCCAATTTATTCGAGTAACATCTGAATAGACCGACCGTTCATACAGTCCAGTGACGCCACTACTCCTGTGCTTTTATTCATGCAAAAAGTAAAACACGATTTTCAAGTGGCAAACCTAGAAATATCGTTTGAAAATGTCTATATGATACAGGAAAGCTGACAGAATTGCTTTACTCTTTTCGATCGTAATTCATATTTAAAGTTCAAACTATCAACTGCATGCAGTACCCTGAAGTCTGAATCGGTTGTAATTCAAACTCGGTAGCAACCACGCATAAATACACACACGGAACTCTTAGTTCAAAAACACAGAAATTTCCTTTAATTGAAAAGAAGCTGATTGGTCCTTAACGAAGAAAAAATGAAAACAAGGAAACAAGAAATAAAAGCTAACAGAATCATTACACTTGACGGTGAAAATAGCAAAAAGGTCGAATGACAACATGACACTTCGCAGGGGCACCCAACGAGAATATAGTTCAAAACCACTTATAAACATAGCATTGTTAAACGTGTTTCAGTATTTAAACGGTAGATATAGGCGTATTTTTATCCCCTAAAAATTTCTCGTCTGTTCGGATTTCCTAGCTGAAAGTCTAGTGATCCGAAAATTATAGGGATGAAAACTTACCTTTTCGAAAATTTCAGCCAGAAAAAAGGCTCCCAAAAATTCTAGATGGCCTTTTTAGGGTAAAAATCCGTTAAAAATGGGCAGTTATACCCTTTTTTAGATGTTCGAAAATCCTAGGAGAGGCAGGCAAGCAAGAAATTTTACAACAAATGTTCCGAAAATTCTGTAAATTAGAAAACGCAAAAAATCTGTTGAAATTATGCAATAACCAGTAAAACCAACCAGAATTTTAGAGTCAACGCTTATGAAATTTTAAAAAAGTTGGTAAAATAAAGGAAAACCAGACAAGCCAAGTATTCTAATTACTTGTGAAATGCAAACTTCCTCTACAGGCATCATAAACTCACTATGTGAACGCTTGTTTAAGTTACAGCCGAAGCTCTTGTAAGCAACCACTGGTTTTTTAAATTCCAAAAAGCGATCGTTACTAGTGCTGATTAGGAGAATGAGCCCTCGTAGGCGACTGCATGGTGAAACACTAGAGGGTGGTATCATTAACAATTCGTAAAGGAAAAAACAAAAAAAATTATATTTAATTAGGGTCTTTATATCTGACATAGACACGGCTAACTTTACTTCCAATTACGACTTACACCAAAATAACCCACACAGACTGTATATGTGTCTACAGGATTACTGGACCACCACGTTTTCAGTACCACCAAGAGATGCTGTTAACAACTTTGAGCTAGTTGAAGCCACGGAGATGGGTGGATATACCAGCGTTAAATTTGAAAGAAATTTGACGACAGGAGAATCAAACATAGATGTTCAGTTTACGGTAAAGTTGTACAACAAATATTCCAGTAACATGTGTGAGTGAACTCTTTAGCTAGTCTTTACCCTAGACCGTTAAGTAAAACTTATGAGCTGCTAAGTTTTACTCAACCAAAGATACGTTTGTGAAGGCCTAAGAAAAATTTCAAGTTCTTTTACTTTGCATCTCATTGAAGTCGGAAAGTTGAAACGATTCAAGAAAAAAAAACGCTTCAAGTGACTTAAAAACCATCCTTAAAACCGACTTTGCGAACTTGTGCTTTCTTGAGCTTTGTTTGAGGCAAAGCATGTCAATCAATCTTAATTATATTGCGTGCCTGGGAAAAAAGACTTAAGTTAATCTGAAGTAAAAAAAGAATCATTCTTGTCTGAAGCTTTATTTTATAGGATACTATTTTTCACGAAAAAGGTACCCCTTTCGTATACCTTCTATTGACGAATGGTACCCCTTTAACATACCTTGTTTAGAACTTTCATTCCTTTTAACTGCTGTAAATACACTGTCTTTTAAATAGGAATCAATCACAAAAATAGAATGTTTTCTCAACTTCAGTTATAAAGCCATAAAATTCATCTGTTTGCGGCATTTTTGGGTTAGGGAAACCGTTATTGTTTTCATTAATAAACAATTGGAATGTGGATACAGTGGATAACGCGTACAGTAATTGAGAAACAACTTAAAATTTCCCTTCAGAACATAAAAAAATTATAAAACACGTTTAAAATTTGGCTATAAAACCGCAACAGTGCACTTTATGTGTACTGTAGGTTATTCATCATTTCCACGCCTTTAATTTTAAGAAAAAACTTTGCAAACTTGATAATTGATAATTGATAATTTTCAGTTATAAGTTATAAGTTACTGCCGGCTTTTTACATAGTTTCTTTCTTTGTCTACCTTTGGATTTCAGAACAATACTGAAGTCTACATTGTCTGGGCTATGCACTCAACTATGGATGCCAATCCAGCGTCGGCAAATTTGAGCCCAAGGCACACTAGCAGGGGAAAATCAGGAAATAAGCAAAACCTGATCGCTATGGCCATGGCTGCAGCGATGACACCTACCGCCACTACCATGATGATGCCATCCACATCTGTTGTTTCTACGCCTCAACCAACCGGTAATAACTGTTACAGTAAATAATATAGTCTCAGATTCTAATTAACTTGATTACTTCCCGCAGTTACAGTGGAACCTCGATATAACGAAGGGCCACGGAACTGGCAAAATTTGTTCGCTATAACGAGGTCTCGTTATATCGAAGTTCATTTTCATACATTTTACTATTACTGGGGTAAAGAAAATCTTTCGTTATATCGACGACTTCGTTGCATGGAGGTTCGCTATATCGAGGTTCCACTGTAATTTGTCAGAAAAAGCTATGAATGACCAAACGAAGAAGATCTACATCATTCTTCTAATAACTTTTCATCACTGCACAATTGGAAAATTAAAAGAAAAAATTGTTGATCTTGTGACCTGGACATATTGATACCGAAATTGATTTTGTCTCGGGCAACGCTCGAGGGCACTAAATAAAACTTTCAATTATTCATTCAAAACATTTCTCCGCTTCTGATTGGCTAAAATCACACGCATAATTCATCAAAACCAGCTACTGTTGGCCAAATTTGGAAGAGTTTTGCCCTACTGAACCGATGACGTCAAATGTGAGGCAAAGTTGCAAGTCATTAGACCGTTAAACCAAGAAAACCTGGGGACGAGTTTGAGATAATGGCAGAACATTTTTCACGGCGAACTATTATCTGTATGTTCTGAACAGATTTTACGTCATCAGTGTGGAATTTCTGTCGCTGAGTCGCGGATGTCCCTCCTCGCGAAACGTTCCCCAGCGGCAAGGAGCGAGGAAAACCGTGTGTTTTCTCAGGCTACCTCTTTCAATAATTGCTAAATATGTTTCCTGTCGATCGTCGAAACTACGTGAGAGCCTAAATCAGGCTATTAGAGTTAATGTCGTGCAAGTCAAACCATTAGTACGTTATTTTAGCGTTTTGGTAAAGAAACCTGTTTCTATTATGTTTTTTTTACCTTTTTTTCTTTGTTAAGGCACGACCGTCAGTGCCGGTGATAATTTTATGCTGACTTGGATATACAGCAACAAAAAGTTGATGTTCACAATGAAATGTAAAACCACTGGTTGGTGTGCAGTCGCCTTTACAACAACAAGGGATGGTGGTGGCATGAGGGATTACGACATTGCCTTAGGCGGGGTCGCTTCCGGCAACAACTATCTTGATGTAAGTGGGATGAATTTCATTCAGAATAAAGAACTATCTTAGAGCATCTCACTGACGTCAGATGGGCCATTTCATTGAATAGCTTTCCCAAATTCACATTAATGGCTGAGCAAATCCCTATTACTAGTGGGTTGTACGACAATGAGATCACCATGGCGACGATAATAAGTGTGATATTATGCGTTCGCATTCGCCGATAATGATGTAGATGTCGCATATTTTTTGCCTGCAGCAGCAGCAATTCTACCGCCAACTAACTTAGCCCTCTTGGTCCGCCATAGATACGCGATGTACAGAATCTTAAAAATATCCTATGACATAAAAAAATTAAAACGTTGTTTTTAAGACACAATCTTACAACAAAAAACATAGGTTGGATTAGGAAGGTGAACGATCCAATGAAAAATGGCGAAAATAAATGGAAATACAGACACTGAGGCGATCATAGACAGTTTTCGAATGTTCGCTGAGGGGAAAGACGTTATGACCTCGGAAATCGTGCGTAAAAGACCATTCAAGTACTTCTTCATTGAGTCAATCAGATCTCGGAATTTCGCACAGAGCACGAAATTGTAATTTAAGACTATAATAACCTAAAAGGTGATGGTCTGTGCTGAGAAGGGAAGTGACTTTTGTCTCTTTACCCGCAGGATTACTGGAGCATCACAACGGCAAAACCTTTAAAGGATAGTGCAAATAACTTTGTTCTTATATCGGCGACTGAGGCTGGTGGATATACAACGGTGGTATTTGAGAGAAATCCTGAGACAAGCGACACTGCTAACGATGTTCAGTTTGAGGTAAATTCATAACATCCCTAAACACAGCTATAAATTCGGTTACAAAAGTTAGCAGTCTTTGCGAGCGGGAGGAGGGTGGTGCAACAACCTATTGTCTGGTGTCCGTGTTAACGAAGAGAGGAAAAAACAGGACAAAATAAGTATATGTGCACAAAGCTCGTGAATATCGTGTACAGGCGGTTTCCTTGTGGATCCACAGATGTGCGGAATTAAATACACAAGTCCAAAAGGCAAAGGAGCGTTTGTTTGTGACGGCCCCAAGTGAGAATAGCCATCCAAGTTTAACTTAGTCCTCGATTGTGTGGAGAAAAGTTATCCCGGGAGAGAGGGTCACCTTCCCAGCCGAGTCATCTTTAGCGCGGAACATTTATCTGGGCGAACCAAGTGCTGACAACAGCGCTAGTGTGGCTCCGATATTCTCGCCTCACCATGGCCGAAATGACCCGACTTAGCGAGCCAACTTGATTATATGAAGCAAAGTTGGCCCGGCTAGGAGGGTGACCCTGCGATCGAAATATGTAACCTGGATAGGCGTGTCATCCTAACTGTCTAGCCAACTCTTTGATTCTCGTTAACAGTTCGCGAAGTTCTTTAGGGTAATGTAGGTTCACCTAGGATACTAGCTCGGGTAGGCAGGTGACCCTTCTGTCCTGGACAAGTTTTCTCCATATAAACCGCCGGGTCTTAGGAATTTGCTGCTGTTTCAGAAGGTTGAAAACAAGATTAGAATAGCAAACTAATGAAATCCTTTACATATTTCTTTATGTAGCCTGGTACTGAAGTTAGGATTGCGTGGGCCATGCACAGCGCAATGGATGGAGATGTAGATATTTCTAGGCACACCGCCCGCGGAATTCTGCCAAACAAGTACACTCTGATTCCAGGACCGGTTGGAGGTACAGGTGCAACAAATGTGCTTAAGTCACGTGTCATGTTTTTAACAATTATTCCTCGAGCCCGACTGGGCTCTGACTCAGAGGCTATGAGGGCGAGAGGAATAATTGTTTTAGTAAAATCCAACTAGTTGGTCAAAAATATCTAGACAAACAACTCTAGCTAGCAAAACGCGATTCAGACGCCATTGTTTTGGTTTTCAAAGCCCGCTCTCTTCGCTACTAGTGGGCTATAACACATAGCCTAGCAGTAGCTCAACCAATCAGAACGCAGCGTTGATAATAGACCACCACGAGTTGGATTTTACTAAATTCTGTTATCCTGGCCGCCATTGCAGCCCTGCCTAGTTTGTTTCCCCATGAAAGACCTTTAGTTGCACCCACTTAGCCCATGCTTTGACGTGTCATGTTTATTCTGTTATCCTAGCCGCCATTGCAGCCCTGCCTAGTTTGTTTCCCCATGAAAGACCTTTAGGTGCACCCACTTAGGCCATTCTTTCACGTGTCATGTTTATTCTCTTATCCTGGTCGCCATTGCAGCCCTGCCTAGTTTGTTTCCCCATGAAAGACCTTTAGTTGCACCCACTTAGCCCATGCTTTGACGTGTCATGTTTATTCTGTTATCCTGGCCGCCATTGCAGCCCTGCCTAGTTTGTTTCCCCATGAAAGACCTTTAGGTGCACCCACTTAGGCCATGCTTTCACGTGTCATGTTTATTCTCTTATCCTGGCCGCCATTGCAGCCCTGCCTAGTTTGTTTCCCCATGAAAGACCTTTAGTTGCACCCACTTAGCCCATGCTTTGACGTGTCATGTTTATTCTGTTATCCTAGCCGCCATTGCAGCCCTGCCTAGTTTGTTTCCCCATGAAAGACCTTTAGGTGCACCCACTTAGGCCATGCTTTCACGTGTCATGTTTATTCTCTTATCCTGGCCGCCATTGCAGCCCTGCCTAGTTTGTTTCCCCATGAAAGACCTTTAGGTGCACCCACTTAGGCCATGCTTTCACGTGTCATGTTTATTCTGTTATCCTGGCCGCCATTGCAGCCCTGCCTAGTTTGTTTCCCCATGAAAGACCTTTAGGTGCACCCACTTAGGCCATGCTTTCACGTGTCATGTTTATTCTGTTATCCTGGCCGCCATTGCAGCCCTGCCTAGTTTGTTTCCCAATGAAAGACCTTTAGGTGCACCCACTTAGGCCATGCTTTCACGTGTCATGTTTATTCTGTTATCCTGGCCACCATTGCAGTCCTGCCTAGTTTGTTTCCCAATGAAAGACCTTTAGGTGCACCCACTCAGGCCATGCTTTCACGTGTCATGTTTATTCTGTTATCCTGGCCGCCATTGCAGTCCTGCCTAGTTTGTTTCCCAATGAAAGACCTTTAGGTGCACCCACTTAGGCCATGCTTTCACGTGTCATGTTTATTCTGTTATCCTGGTCGCCATTGCAGCCCTGCCTAGTTTGTTTCCTAATGAAAGACCTTTAGGTGTACCCACTTAGGCCATGCTTTGACGTGTCATGTTTATTCTGTTATCCTGGCCGCCATTCCAGCCCTGCCTAGTTTGTTTCCCAATGAAAGACCTTTAGGTGCACTCACTTAGGCCATACCTGCACTATACCTAAAAGCTTTTCGTGTCGACACGTAGCGCTATCCGCTATAGTATGAGCAGCAACGGCCCGGATTAGGAACAAGTCCTTCACACACATCGAATATCGTGCCGTAGTGTTTGGCCCAAAGGTTTTGGTGTAAGTCCCAGTCCTTACAAGTCCAAATACCTATTCACTCTGTATTAAAGTGTGGCACAAATAGCCTCAGCCACAAGTAGCTCGGGAACTTTTTTGCAAATTTTGCTGTTTTTGCTTTTGGTTTTAGTTTTGGGAGCAACTTGATTAAATTTTTAGCAGCTTATGGTAATACTGTTTAAGCCTTGAAAAACATCCTAAAAAGGAAAATTTCAGTGTTTTGATGATATAGATAATTTTTAACAACAGGGAAAGTCCTTCATACACATCGAATATCGTGCCGTAGTGTTTGGCCAAGAGGTTTTGGTGCACGTCCCAGTCCTCACCCTTGAATTCTTTACTTCCGTCTCAGTGGGTTCCATTCATTGCTCCTACTTTATCACTTCCGAAACACAAATAGCCTTAACCACAAGTTGCTCGGCGACTTTCTGACAACTTTTGATATTTGGAGAAGCGTTTGATTTTGGGAGCAACTTGATTAAATTTTTAGCAACTTATGGGACCTCTAATACTGCTTATGCCTTGTAAAACATCCTAAAAAAGTAAATTTTAGTGTTTTGATGTTAGAGATAACAAATAACAACGTGATAGTTAAACCTCCTTTTGTAAACAATCTTTTTTACAGTAATATCCTCTTTGTAGTTATATTCTGATAGGAAACCGCGTGCGTTTCAAAAGTTCGGGAATAGCCCCGGGGTTGGCAAATACTCGGGCCCCGGGCAGCGAAAGATTTGCAAATGCCCCCCCACCCCCCGGAACTGAAAGGCGGGCAAATGCCCTGCAGAAGCCCGGGGGTGCTGGGCGCAGCCGGAATTGACTGATACATAAATACCGGTAGATACGCTATGATACATATAGCAATTTTTATATTCCTGTAGATTTTACTTTCAATTTACCACATTATGTTACTAGCTATATGCGCTACACAGGTAAAAAAGGGAGTGAAACAGAAAAAGAAAAAAAATAAGGTCACGAAAAATTTGCGTCAAGGGGATTCGAACCCCAACCCTCAGAATACGTTAGGATTAAAACTGGGCACCCCTATCCACAGGACCACCTCAGTAGGCGTTGCCAATTTGTTGTTTAAAAGAGGTATATATTCCTTCTCCATATGGTGATTGACAGTTTTCAAGGATAACTTTTTCGGTTTCTGTGTAGACTTAAATCTTTAAATCTTTAACTGATCGATCTCACAATAAACCCATTGATACTCTTTCATTGTCCATGCCGGGGAACGTTTAAGAAATTTATGAACTATCGATCTTGCGGCTACCGACTGAACATTATGACAGTACGATTCTTTCCCTGCTCGTAAGGTGTCTTTTCATCGGTCGGGGAAAACATTAACACAACATTGTTTATCATTATTTCCATTGTTTTATTAGGTTAGGGTAGGTTTAAGAACTGCTACATGAATGATGATATCTCTCCCCAGAATGAAGAAAAACAATATGGCCGCCAAATACATTCTTTTAGCTGTGAAATTTCTCCTTTATTACCAACGTTGAACATTTATTTCGGCAAACAAACAGTTAAGTTGAAAAAGGATTTTACAAAAGTCTCAAAAGTAGATCTCCTCTTCGATTTTAATTTGCAATATCGGTCGATTTACGCAACTTTTAAACTTCTGGCTCAGTTTTCGTTTGCTTCTGTTTTGAAAATGTTATCATTATCTTAATCGTTATAATTGTTGTTATTGTTATTATAACAAAAACTTGCGGATTTATGGCGAAAAATGTACTTTAAAAACGAACTAAAATATTCAAAATACTCTGATCACGTAAATTATGACATCATATCCCTCTTTTGGTGATGAAAACAATTGTCAGGTAGAACATTACTTATAATTATTATTATTATTATTGTCTCTATTATCACAGTCTTTGCTGGTGTTCTTTTTGTGCATCAGCCGGGCGCAAACCATGCACCTAGAGCGTCAGTCACTCAAGTCAATCATTCTGTTCATACACTGAACACCTTTCTGAGGATTCGTGCAGATCCCAGCATGCAGATCTTTTGAATCTCTGTCATAGTAGCTCTCTCTGATACTTTCTTGATGTTTTCTACCATACCCTTCTTCACTGTACCAAGCGCACCTACAACCACAGGGATCACTACGGTTTTCATATGCCACATTCTCTGTATTTCTAGTTCTAGGTCTTTGTACTTGCATTTTTTTTCAGTTTCCTTCAGTGCGATGTTTCTATCTGATGGAACAGTCATATCAATAAGTTTGCAGGTGGAATTCACTGAATCTTTAACGATGATATCTGGTCTGTTCGCTGTTATAGTTCTATCAGTATTGACTGGCATGTCCCACATGATGGTGATGTTGTTATCTTTATTGTGGGTCACGGTCTCTGGTTCGTGTTCGTACCATTTGTCTGTAATCTCTATATCATGATCTTTATTATTATTATTATTATTATTATTATTATTATTATTATTACTATTATTATTATTATTATTATCGTCATCATTCTCGTTTTACTGTTAGACGTAGTCGTTAGCGGGAGCATCACAATTCTGATTCACAGCCCAGATAGTTCATGATCAGGACGGAAATTCTTACAATCGGTCGAGCATGAAAAATGACCATTCATTCGTGTCGGGTTGAAAGAGTTATTAACCGTGGTCGAATTTTTTTTCCCCTCATTTTAGCTGCGACAACACTTTAAACTCAAAAGATTTGTTTTTAGCCCCAAAATTGGGGCCAACTTTGGCAGTTAAATACTAACAATAACCGGCTTTTTTGAGGACTTATTTGGCTAAAACTCAGGGAAAATTGCTTTTTCTTCAGGGATAACTACTACCACCAGTACCATGACGGTGCCTTCTTCGTCAATTGTTTCTACGCCTCAACCAACAGGTAATGTAGCCCAGCAAATATTCATTTCGGTTAATTTAATTGTAAGAATATGTTATAGCTGATCAAGATTTACCTTATTCTTCCAATATTATAAAAAGCGAATTGTTGACATTGTTAACTCGGCATATATTGTCAGTGAATTTTAAAAGAAAATAATTTTGTCTACAGTCAAAACCGGGGGAAATGAAAAATTAAAATTAATATTGTAATGAAAGAGTTACTCGTCTAATTCTTATCCAATCATGAAAAAGAGGCGTGGGCCACAATTGCTGAATTTTATTCCACACTTGACACATGCACATATTAATTTTGTTAGATCATCTTATGACTACACAACCAATTTCAGTCAGTGTTTCAGTTGGGGAGGCCGCAGCTTAACAATCATAAGAGACTTATAGCATAATCTGTTTGTTTCCGGTAGTCAAAACTAAGTGAGAACCTGAAAAAGGCTATAAGATCGTGTAAGTCACACTAAGGGTACATTATTTTAGCGTTTTCAACATGATCTTTTTAATCCTTATCTCTTTTTTAAGCATCCACGACCGTTAGTTTTGGTGATAAATTTATGCTGACTTGGATATACAGCAACAACAAGTTGTTTTTCACATTGAGATGCAAAACCATTGGTTGGTGTGCAGTCGCCTTTACAACAGGGGATGGTAGAGGCATGAAGGATTACGATATTGCCTTGGGCGGAGTCGCTTCCAACGGCAACTATCTTGATGTAAGTAAGATGAAGTTTCATTCAGTGTAAAGTAATACCCTGCTCTAGAACATTTGACTTACTCCAGATGGACTAGTCTATGGAATAGCATTTCCAAACTTACAGTAAGACTCGAGCAAATATTACTATAATTACAAGTGGCTTATACGACACTGAGATCACTATAGCAAAGATATTAAATGTTAACGTACTCGTAACTCAGCAAGGAGGTAGATATCGCTCATATTTGTGCCTACTGCAGCTATGTAGCGGTAGTTAAGTGCGTAAGTTAGACCGCAAAAAAAATAGAGCCTTAGTCCGCAACAGATACGCAATGTTCGTAACAACAAAATCTGTTCTTGTAAAAGATCGAGAAAACCTTTTAGGTCGTTAAAAAGAGATTCTTTAACAAAACAATTCAAAACGCAGTTTTTAAGACAAAATCTCCGAACAAGAAAAACCTGCTTAGATAAGAAAAGAGAACGATCCAATGAATGTGAAAATGGCGACGTAAGTGAATGGAAACAGGACACTAAGGAGACTATAGACAGTGTTCGTATGTTGGCTGAAGCTGCTTAAGGGAAAGACATTATGACCTTGAAAATCGTGCGTAAAAGGCCATTCAAGCAGTCCAATGAGGCAATCAGGTCTCAGAAATTTCGCACACAGCACGAAGTTGTAATTTAAGATTTAATACCGTAAAAAGTGACGGTCTGTGTTCAAGAGGTAAGAGACTCTGTTTCTTCACCGGTAGGATTACTGGAGCACCTCACTCACAAAACCATCAAAGGATAGTGCAAATAACTTTGTTTTTACAACGGCGGCCGAGGCTGGTGGATATACAACGGTGCAGTTTGAGAGAGATCCAGAGACAAGCGACACTGCTAAAGATGTTCAGTTTCAGGTAAATTTTTAACATTTCTAGACACAGCCGCAAATTCGCAACGGTACCGTGGCCCCCACTGCTATACTCCCCACCCGGAGATGGAAAGGGGCGGGAGTTCGGGTACAGAAGCGAGCCATCCCTGCAGGGAGGAGGATGGTGCGACAACCTGTTGTCAGGTGTCCGTGTCAACGAAGAGAGGGGAAAACAGGATAAAATACGTTTATTTCACTGAATTCGTAAATATTGTGTGAAGCCGGTTTCTTGTGGATCCACAGATGCTCGAAATTAAATACATAGGTCCAAAAGGCAAAGGAGCGTTTGTTTGTGACGACCCCAAGTGAGAATAGGCATCCAAATTAAACTTAGTCCTCATTGTATGGAGAAAAGTTTTCCTTGGGAGAGGGTCACCTTCACAGCCGAGTCAACCATAGCGCGGAGCGTTTATCTGAACAAACCAAGACAACAGCAGCGCAAATCCATGCTCTGATTGCCTTGCCTTGACCAAGATGACGCGGCTTGTCGAGCCAACTTGATTATATGAAGGAAAGTTGGCCCGGCTGAGAGGGTGACCCTACCTTAGAAATATGTAACCTGGATAGGCGTATCATCCTAACAATTTTTTCAATATTTATTACACAAGTGTCATCCTAACGGCCCAGTCTTTGATTCTCGTTAACGGCTGGTCAAGTTCTTTATATAAGGTAATGTAGGACTAAGTTGGCTCACCCAACATACTATATAGCTCGTGTAGGCAGGTGACCCTTCTATCTGGGACAAGTTTTCTCCATATAAACCGCCGGGTCTTAGGAACTTGCTGCTGTTTCAGAAGGTTGAAAATAACATTAAAAAAGCAAAATAATTAAATTCTTGACATATTTCTTTATGTAGCCTGGTACAGAAGTCATGATTGCGTGGGCCATGCACAGCTCTATGGATGGAAATGTAGATATTACTCAGCACACCGCCTGGGGAGTTCTTCCAAACAGGTACACGCTGGTTCCAGGAACAGGAAGTACCTCCACCTCCACCACCACAGGTGCAGCAAGTATGCTGGAGTCACGTGTTATGTTTTCCACTATCCTGGCCGCCATTGCTGTCTATTTGATGTCCAAATGAGAGACCTTTAGGTGCAGCTCCTTACACCACTGTAAACGAGACTATCCCAGCAACTAAACATTTAAATCGTTATGACTTTGTAATTTCTTTATTTTAACACATAAAATGTGTTTTGATAGACGTTTTTTTTCATTTTCCAATGCTTAGTAGTTCACGGAAACATCACGAGTCTGATTCAAACCCTACTTTTTTTGTATTGATTTGTTCTCATACCCCCCCCCCCCTTTTTTTTTTTTAATTTTTTTTTTTTTTTTATTTTTTTACTTTTTTTTCTTTTTTTTTTTTTTTTTTTTTTTTTTTTTTTTTTTTTTTTTTTTTTTTTCTTTTTTTTTTTTTTCACCTTTGGGGGAATTTTTTCTGGAATTGAGTTCTAAAGGGTCGTAATTAAATTAAAAAAACGAAAACCAAAACCCTTTCCTTTATTATTATTATTTTATTTTTTATTTTGAATCCAATTTTCCTTACAAAGTGGTTTACAAAGTGGTCTTCTTATAAAACCGGCCGACACCGGAATTTTCACTTTTTCCCTCCACCGCGTTCTTCCTATTTTCACATTAAATGTGTTTTTATAAGCGTTTTTTTTCTTTTTCCAATGCTTTTTTTTTCCCGGAAACCTCCCGAGTTTTATTCAAACCCTTTTTTTTTTTTTTTGTTTTTTTTTTTTTCCCCCCCCCCCCCTTTTGTTTTTTAAATTATTTTTATTTATTTATTTGTTTACTTTTTTTGCTTTCTTTTCTTTTTCATTTTTCCTTTTTTATTCAGTCATATGGATAGTGCACAATTTCTCGACGCAAATGACGGAAATTTGGTCACGCATACCAAATCCATTCTATAGTGTCGTGTTAAATTAGTGATTTATCTTGGTCGAAATTTTACCGTCATTTTAACTAGAGCTGCAGTTTAGTAAATTCAAAGGATTTGTTTTAAGCCCCAAACTTGGGTCACGGCTTGACAGTAACTGAAATATTGTACCTTTCTGAGGACTTAATTGGCTATCTTAAATTAGGGACACACTGGTTTCATTCAAGGGCTGATGTGAACTCACGGACTGAACATAGTTCCAAGGCTGCAATAGTTCTTTGCTTGAGCTCTTTTGCCGGAGAAGTTGTTCCGGATTACTCCACGGATAGCTGAATAAGATTTGGACTTGAAGTCAACTAAGGCTTGATGAGCACTTTGGGTCTGAAACAGATCTTTAAATTTATAGTGTTTTGTTTTTGTCGGTATCCGGATAGTTCAAATTAATGCAAAGATTCGGTCTTGAAAGCATGCTCTTCAATTACAAATCACTGTAGTCGGTTTCGCTTCTCTCCAGACAAGCAGATCGAATCGATGGTTTTGTCAGGATTAAAGCATGTGAAAAGGGAACGGTTTTTGTTGCCCCTATTTTTTCTACTTGAACTTAACTAGAAGTTTTCCCTCAGAATTAGGCTCCAAAAGTTTTAATTCGTTTGTTGGTACTAATTGTCAAATATTTAACGTAAAGATAAAGTGCATGTAGTGATTTCATTAGCCTTTACCAACAGTCTTTAAGTCGTAATTTTTAGCTTTTGTCTCAGTTTACGATATGATTTTGTATTCTTACATTTGACGTAATAAACTGTGCCAACGGAGTCAAGTCAGAAATTGAGTTTTAATTATTCCTCCTTGCGTACATACACAGTGCTTTCAATCTCAAGCACTGACGGATTGTACGTATCCGAATATTTTTTGATCCGCAAATTTTTCTTTGCGGATTCAAAAATTCCCACGTTCACACGTATCCTACCCTGCGAGCAGTGGTTTCTCCAGGCCGGACGCTACGTATCGTCCGGCCTGGAGAAACCACTGCTTGCAGGGTACACGTATCCGTATTCAAATCGAATTTGCCATTCCGGCACGTATCCGACTGGAATCAGGATTCACTCTGGGAACTTGGTAACAAAGCTAAGCATGCGTCGTAAAGCGCGCGAAATATGGCAGAGTCAGCCCGGAGGAAAATCAAAGAAAAATGAGAAGAGCAAGGTTGATTCCTCCATGGATAAGAGAGAGAACCTGGGAACGAGGTTTTCATCTTGAACAGAGTATTCACGGTAACGAACTGGGCCGAGTTGTTCAAAGCTGGGTTAAGATAACCCAGGGTTAGTGCGAGATTTGAATTCGGATTTGAAAGCTTAGAAAGCATTTCAGTTTTAATTCTTTTTGTCTACAAGTTAATGATTGGAGGCTCTAAAAAGAGCACAGAAAATTATCCAAGAAAATGCTTTTGAACACAAGAAAAAGAAACCTGGGTTAAATTTAACCCCGGGTTAAGCGCTAATCGGCCTTCGAACAACTGGGCCCTGGGGCCCGTTTCTCGAAAGTTCCGGTAACTTTTCGGGCCCGAAATCAAATATTCAAATCGAAATATAAAGAATAAGAGCGCGGGTCCCAGCTAGTAGACTACTCCATTTTGTTTCACTAAGTGATGGTTTTATCATGCTAGATGCAAAACTATTGAAGCCTCGATCTTTAATGCAAACGGCGACAGCTTACCGGGCCCGTTAATTATCGGGACTTTCGAGAAACGGGCCCCTGGGCTCCATCTTGTCACGTCACCAGATAAAAAAATATTATATCCGGATTTAGCGTCCATACGATTCCGGATTCATAGCGGATTCAAAAAGCTGCGGAGACGTATGCCGGATTCACCGGATACGCGTTGACGGAAGGCGCATCCGGAATGAAAAATTAAAGTTGCGGTTTCAAAAATATCCGGATACGTGTGGACGAGGCTTAAATAATTAGAGGGTAGGATCTTAAGACAGAATCCTTCAGGACACTGAGTAATTTTAATTTTCAGTGGACAAAAACCTTGTACAAGAATCTTTTAAGCTATATCGCATTCTTTTTTACACTTTTTAAGGGCTATAGATGTAATTAGTTATCTGTAATAACACCAACGACAATTTCTAACAGGAGTCTGAGAGGATAAATTTCAAATTTCACAAGAATTGAGAAAACACCGGTAAAATCGCCACGCGTAAGATTTCATTTTGTGAAATTTGAAGGTAATAAGAACCTTTTCTTCGGAGTTATTTCATATAACTTATTACATTTATAACCCTCGGGATGTGAAAAAGAATGCAATATGCTTTAAATTATTCTGGTACAAGGTTTCTGTCCACTGAAAATTGAAATTACTTAATTTTCTAATGGATTTTGTCTTAATAGGTAATTTTTGAATAGAAAATAAGCAATAATAATTTATTGTTATGTTTGATTTTCTTTTTTTTTTTAAGCATGTTGCTTCTCCGGCCCGGGATTAATATTCTTATTTTTTTGTCAATTTTAGGGTGAAAATATTCTCGAATTATTCTTAACTATAAATTATAGCTTATGGCATTTCCGGTTTAGAATGTATTAGAGTTTTCCGATCAAACGGAATTGGAAAGACCATTTTTCCGCCTCGTTAGCTAATTGTATGCAAAATAGTGTTTAACTGAACTTGCCACTGCAATTTTAAACGTTACTCATCGTTTAAAAGTAGATTAGGTTTACAGATTATTTGTTTTCTCGAACGCAATCAGTCCAATTCAAAGGTGCTTGTCAGATGCCAATCCCATATTTTCTGGAGTTCCACAGGGAAGTCTATTGAGACCGCAATTGTTTACTATCCATTTTAATGATGTGCATGCGCCAATTCAATCAATCAATCATTTTAAACAGTTGAAGGAAACTTTTGAATTTTAGAGGCTGACAGTTTTTTTTTTATTATTATTGAAATGAAATGTTTTTAATTCGAATAAATTTTTCTTAGTTAAATTAATTCTTTCTAAGCTAAATTAAGTGCTTTTTAAATCGACAGGAATTGTAAATAGTGTTTTGAATGAATAGTTTTTTCTTTTTTTCAAGCGAATTAATTGTAAATAGGATTTTAATAGTTAGCATTGTTGTCAAGAAAATTTTTTCGTATTTTTAAAAATCAACTTCAGTCATCACCTATGCGAATGATACAGTAATTTTCACGGCTGCTAAAGATCTGAAATCCATTCAAAGGCATCTAAGTGAAGATTGTCACAACCTGTCTTCTTGGTTTCCTGATAATGAGCTTGTCCTTAATCTAAAAAAGGGCCAAACTGAGTGTATGATTTTTGGTACTACCAAAAGGCTTAATGCATTGAATGGAAGACAACTAGCTTTGACTGTAAAATGGAACACTGATTAATACCACGTCATCCTTTAAATACTTGGGTGTAAACTTGGATTCATCCTTAAGTCTCGAATCACATTTTGTCAAAATGTATAAAAGAGCAGCTGAAAGCAGAGCAGTGCTGAGAAAATCTACAAAGCAATGATTAAACCTATGTTTACGTATTGTGGAACTTTGGGTCTCAGTTTGTCACCTTCCCGTAAAAGTCGAAGGAAAGGCTTGAACGTCAAAGTAGAAAGTCACTGATGGAAATTATCAAGTCCAGACAGTGGAGTTTAATAAAGAGACAGTCCTGCCAGCTTGTGTTTGACTGTCTTCAGGATAACGTCTGTACCCCTTTTAAAGGATATTTTACAAAAATTGAACACAACATTAACACTAGAAACAATGGGTGTTCACTAAAACTTCCCAAAGCCAAAATAGAATTTGGACGGAGAAGTTTTGCCTTTCAAGGGGCTCTGCACTGATTTCTACTGTAAATATCAAATTGCATGGGCTAATGGGATTTGTAAATTCTCTTCGGTTGCGTACCATTAAAAGAGAATTGATTTCTGTTCGCGATTATTTTAGCTGTTGATTACTTGTGAGATCACTGTCAGATGCTTTGAATGATTATGACGCCAAGTATTTCTGGAAAGCAATTGTATGTTTAATACGTGCGGATTGGAATTGGTATTTTGGTAGAAATATAGGCTGTTTCGAGTCAACCCCGGTCGTTACTCTTCCTTTTCTGCGAGAAAGTTTAAGTTTATAGTTTTCTTTTATTATTTTTCTCGGCCTCGTAGGAAGGTTGTGGAGTTTTGGGGGTTGGTTCCTACCCAGGTTTCCTCTTTTTTCCCGCCCTTTTCGCGGCTTTTTTGTAGGGTTTTTTTCTGGCCTCCGTCTCTTGTAGATACGTATCCAAAACTCCGTTAATTTTCCTTGATGTATTCTGTTAAGTATTTTTCAAAATTTGGTTTTTTACGTTCAGTTTGGTCTTCAAATAAAGCGTAGCGGCCTACTAAGGCACAATAAACCAGAAATGTATATATGTTAGTTGTTATTTGTGTGTTGTTAGGTAGCTGTTGTTAAGAACGGAATTAATAAGTTAGATATTGCAATGGTACAGCACCTCACACTTTCTTCCGGTTCTCGAGCTGAACTACACCTGTCTGTCTTCTTTTTTACAATTCGACAGCGCTCGTGTTAATCTATACTCCATAAATCCCCTGTGGTTTTTATATTTTTTAATCACGCGCTCGATGATCTCTGAAAAGAAAAGAGAGGGTCTGTGAACAGGCTAACTGCTAAGCCAGGTTCTTCGGTACCAGTGGAGGAAATAGAGTTTAAAACATCTGTGCAAAGCGGTAACACAAGCGGGAGAGTTGAAACAACATTATTGCAAAAGTTATCCCCCCAAAAAATCCAAGCAAATTCTAAAATGTATTTGAAACACATGCCCACTCCAACCCTGAGTTTGAAAAATTTACCCCCCCCCCCGCCCCCCCCACCCATAAAGAACGTACAACCCCCCCTAAATAAGACATGAGTGAACCATGACCATCGGTCCCGACCCGGTTAAAAATAATAAACTTTATAATCGGCAAACAGGGTTTCTTTTTGATTAAAGTAAATTTACCCCCCCCCCGCTCCCCCCAGCCATAAAGAACGTACAGTCCCCTCTAAATAAGACATGAGTGAACCATGATCATCGGTCGCGAACCGGTTAAAAATAATGATCTTTATAATCGGCAAATATGGTTTCGTTTTGAATAAAGTAAATTTTGGACAAGGAAGTGCTTCAGTCAAATTTGATACCATTACTATTGCGCAACTTTATCGCGCTTACAATTGTAGGGAATTTCATCCGAAGCTGGGGTATTTTCGATGGCGTTCCCTAAGAACTACCCATTTCTTGTGCTTATCTTGTTTCCTTGTTCTCTCTGTGTAGTTCATGCATTGAATTACGCTACGTTTTCTACTGGCAACGGAAATTTCATGTTGCATTAGACCCATAGCAACAACAAGCTGATCTTCAACAAGACTTGTAAAGCAACCGGCTATTGTGCAGTAGGTTTTACAGAAACTGCTACCGGTAGAAATATCATCGGGAAATGTATGATATCGCTGCCGGCTTTTTCGTTAGTTCAATAACCACACCAGTATTCAATGACCACACATTAGCACAAATACGTTTGAGTTTTTTTTTTTAGTATAAATGTGTAGCATTAAGTAAGTGGTAAATACTCATTTAGCAACTGACAATACAAGAACTAAGTGAGAAATACAGTAGCTATCAATGGTACACTGTTATTAAGTTCTAGTGAGCTGTAAACAGCAACGTAGACTGATAGTAATTTAAGAGTTATAGTCTGCGCAGAACGTCAGTCAGTCTCATCAGGGGCACAGTGAACAGAACTTGAGAGAGAGTCAATGCTGCCAAGGGAAAGCTAACTCGGCCCAGAGGAAACTTCACCACTAAATAACCGAAAAAAACGCGCGTTTCTATTCAAGAAATCAACCATACTCTTGTCAATTGCTTATAATAAACAAAAGCTCCTGACCAATCAGGATGTGACAATTTCTGCATTTTATTTCAAAAGACAAATATAGAGCTGACCTTAACTTTATCAATGTAAACTTGCAACGTAAAATTTGTGCTGTAATATTTTTGTTTATTGTATCTTTTGTTAATGTCCGTTCTTAGAAGATGTGAGGATTTAATCTTTACTGCTAGAGTTTTTACGATTTGAAGCTAACTGAAAACGGAAAGTGATATATTACTATTCACGCTAAAGCTTACACACGTTTAGTCAATCCATACTTTCGCTTCATAGCTAGGCTGATAATATTTACTGACTCTGTATTTAGCCTAAATGAAAGTAAAAGTTAAAGGAGCCGTGTCGGCACGAGTTTTACCAAATTTTAACGTGGGAACTGCCATCAAATTGAGTGAAACATAAAAATAGTCGCTCAAAACTTTACAATACTTATAGCACAGCAAGTGCACAAGTAGACACGAATGGACAAACTTGAAAAAGATTAAACAGGTGAAATTGTGGGTTTTTGAAAACTTGTTGACCTAGCAGGTTTTTCTCCTAAAAGTAATTTTTGCTGTTTGTAACGTATGATATAATACTGGGGACGTATATTTGTAGGAGAGGAAGCTGTTTTAATCATAATCGCGAGAAAAATGTTTTCAAAAAAACGAAACCCTAACAGGTCGTGAAAAGGCAAAAAACTAAACAATATTTAACACTTCCGATAATCACCTTTAATAATGCAAATACATTTATTATGCATGTAATTTATTTTGAGGGGACTTATACCAGTGTTTCAGTCAGTTTGGGTTTCATTACCATTACGCGGCTTTATCCGCTATATTCGTTCAGGGAATTTCATCCGAAGCGAGGGTTGTTTCGATGGCGTTCGCCAAGAACTACGCATTCTTTATGCTTATCTTGTTTCCTTGTTCTCTACATGTAGTTCATGCATTGAATTACGCTATGTTTAATTCTCCTGGCGGCAATTTCATGTTGCACTGGACCTATAGCAACAACAAGCTGATCTTCAACATGACCTGTAAAGCAACCGGCTGGTGTGCAGTGGGTTTTACAGAAAATAATGGCGGTGAAGGTATGATAAACTACGATATCGCTGCCGGCGGGGTCTCTGCTGATAACACATCTTATCTTGAGGTAGGTTTGTATAACGTGACCGGTTGTACCTTTCGGTAGTCAAGTAAACTATAAGTAAATTGATCGTTTACCTGGTTGCTAGAGAAAGATTGCTTGGATGAACAGTTTGACGGTGATGTGCGCCGCGGGGATCTAGACTTGACTTCGCCTTCAGAATAATTATTTTTCTCAAATACGGAGTAGAAAGCAACAATTTACACACTCAGAAAGACAGTGTTGCATCTTGGCTGTCTTGGTAAAACAAAATTTTACTTTTTAAATAATTTCCAGTTGATTACCAAGATACCCACTATCTTTTCAGTCTATTTACAGTTGAAGACGATGTAGAATGATTTTAATTTGAATTAAAAGTGCTTAGCTCGAAAAGCATAGTGTTCAACAAAACCAAAGCTAGCATTGACTGAATTGGGGTTAGTGCAGCATGAAACATCTGCACGTCCGCCTTATATTTATTCCTATCGCGTGCCAATTACGCTAAATATTTCTGCGGACATTTTGGACTTTTAGACCTCAGAACATTCGCGTCTTAAATCCAGTTCTCAGCTATTGCTGCAGCCAAATAACTCATGTCAGAAACAAAAATCAGTCGGGACACAAAGCACTTTTTACGGATTTTAAGGGAATATTGAAGACTCTATCATTTCTATTCTTTGTACGAGGAAAAATATCTGCCTCAGGGTGTATATGACGCAGGCCCCTTAGTCTACTTTTTTTTCTTCTAAAAAATTTTGTTTAAGTTGATTTAGCACCACAGAAGGATTCTTTTAACTTATGCTCACCTGAATTATCCAAATTATAAAAACGGAACATAAAACCTTCCCAGTATATTCCTGTTGACAAAAGTGACAAAAAGAAGTGACTTGTGTAAAAGAACTTATTAAAATGTTCACTCAAGCCTCGATCACGCATCACAATCTTGCTTAGGGCGAGCGCGGGGGATTGTTATTCCTGCTGTAAAAGTTACGGATGGATTTAATCTATGAAAGGAAAAAAAGGGGTTAAAACTCATTTAAAAGAGCGTACTGAAATTTTTCTGCGCCTCTCGATACATGACAATGACGTGCGGCATGATATGAAATGCTTGCAATTCACTTGGCGCAGAACCAATCGTGAAAGTTCTTTATAAGCATTGTTTTCGAGAAGCTAGGAGAAAAAGGCTGTCAGAGAACGAAAGATTTATTTGCTTTACTCTGAAAGACAATTTTCGTTAACATGAAGTCTTTTTAAATTCACGATTTCGTATCCGCAAAGTTTCATTCTTTACTGGGTTAGTTTTGTATGATTGTTTCTGATGCAAAAATATCTTGTAAGCCTCAGTTCAAACAATTTTTTTTTTTGCGATTCTAAAATCCATAGTTAAGCCGGGTATTGGGTATAGACGGAGAAAATATATTTGAAAATATAAAAAACTGAAAAAAATATTTGACTGGAGTTCTCAGGGAAATTTTTTTAAAAATGTTATAAAAGTGTGAAAAAATTGTAATCTATAAAGCTACGGTAAAATGGGCAACAAACACGTGCAACTTGTTTCGCAACATTGCTGCAGAACGTGTTGACAAGCATGTTGCGCGTTTTACCACCCACGTTCAAACCTGTATTGAAACAAATAAAGGTTGCTGCAAGTTGAATAAATACTGACTTCTGATTGGATAAGATTATGCGGGAGTCACGCTATACAAAGGCGTTACGTTACTTGCTGCAAAACAAGTTTGCCTTGGGCCGGTAAAACGCGCAGCATAGACAGAAGCAAAAAGTAAAACTTTCTGCAAAAACTTTTCGCAACCTGTAACAATCTGATTTGTTGCAAGACTGTGAGATTTGAACGTGGGTGATAAAAAAAGGGCAACATTGCTTTTCAACTCCTTTTGCTGCAATGTTGCAAAACAAGTTGCATCTTTATGTGCCCGTTTTACAGTACCTTAACCAAATATAGGTGAGCATGAATCAGTTTAATACTTTCAAATTCAAAATTTTCAGTACGTTAATAAAAAACCAGCCATGGTAGTGCTTTATTTTTGTTCCGGTAATGAAAGACATCTTTGGAATTTACATAAGGCCCGTTGGTTTGACGCACTCTGAAATATTGCACGTTTTTCATATTGCTCTAGTAGAGCAGATCAGTCTAAAACAAATCTTTGGGAGTCGCGCGAAATGAAAATGATTTAAAGTCTTTAATATCCCAACTTTTGAATACCAAGAACAAAAAGACCGACTCGACAAGTGACCGTTCTGCATAGTTCGCCATCTTTCTGGAACATTACGAAATAACTCCGACCTCTTAGGCCTTTTTGGGCTTGTTATCTTGCAAATAAATTCATCATCCCCTGGAAAGGCAGATATTCCCTTATTTGGCGCAACTTGAACAGGGTGTCTTTTATTTCTACCGGAAGCCCTAAAAGAATGTGAAGAATGGCAATGAGCGGTCTAAATGTGTGGTACCAACAATTATTTACCAAACAATTCAAGTTCATGATAGCAGTTTAAAAACTATTTTTCTTTTGTACTGAACCGAAGGAGGAGAGGCATCACTGCCCACACTAGTCTGTTTACTGAACTTGTTACTGAATAGAAATTTCTTTGTTTATGGCATTCCATACGATAATAAACAATTATTGGTTCACGGAGGTTTTTGTGATATCTGGAATAAGAATTAGAAGGTCGAGGTAAGTGTTATCAGCCGAGCCCAAGGCCGGTGCTGATAACACTTACCGAGACCTTGATTATATAGGATGTCTCAAACACAGAATCTAACAATTGATTTATTATACATTGTTTTGAAAACAAAACCACAAACACACCGTCGCAAGGAACCTGAATTGATGTTGTTACAGGAAATCATACATTGCGCTCGCAACCTACAGATTAGACAGTTATCTGCTAGCAGATAACTAACTAATCTGTAGGTGCGCTGGTTTCTAAAATTAGCGGTAGGCTCTTAGCCAATGAGAAGCCAGTTAGTGAGTACAATGTATAATAACGTCATTTATCTGTTTACAACATTCACCGGTCGGGAGTTTATCTACTCTGGAGACCGTTTACGAATTTAAAAATCCTTCAGCCCTTAGCAAGATCGCTTGAAATCTTCTCAAACGTTCAAGTGTCAACGCATACGTTTCAATTTCAATTAACCAAAGTTAGCCAAGCCTAAAAGCGGAGTTCCAAGAAACGTCAAGGAAACACAAAGAATGTTCTCTGCAAAGTAGAAAACGCAAAAAATCTCTTGAAATTATGCCTTTACCAATAAATCCAAGCAGAATTTTAGAATGAACGCTTACGAAATAAAAACAAGTTGGTAATATAAAGTAAAAACAGACGTAATTATTTATGCAAATGCAAACTTCCTCTACAAGCATTATTAAGTCACTGTGTGAGCGCTTGTTTAAATTACAGCCGAAGCTCTTGTAAGCAACCACTAGTTTTATAAATTCGATGAGTGATCGTAATTAGAGCTGATTACGAGAATGAGCTGTCGTAAGCGACCGCATGGTGAAACACTCGAGGGTGGTGTTATTAATAATTCGTAAAGGAAAAAACAAAAAAATTATATTTAGTTAGTGTCTTTATATCTGACATAGACACGGCTAAACTTTACTTCCAATTACAACTTACACCAAAATAACCCAAACTGACTGTATATGTGACCTACAGGATTACTGGAGCACCAACACGTCAGCACCATCAAAAGATGCTGTTAACAACTTTGAGCTCGTTGAAGCCAAGGAGATGGGTGGATATACCAACGTTCAATTTGAAAGAAATTTGACGACAGGAGAATCAAACTTAGATGTTCAGTTTACGGTAAGGTTGTACAACAAATAATATGTGAGAGTGAACTCTGTAACTAGTCTTTACAGTAAAACTTATAGGGGAGCTACGACTAAGTTTTACTTTTAATACTAAAGATACATGCGTGAAGGCCTAAGTAAAATTTCAAGTTCTTTTACTTTGCATCTTATTGAAGTCGGAAAGTTAAAACGATTCAAAAAAATTTTCAATTTTTTTTAGGTCTTGTTTACAAGGAGGAAGGGTAACCCTGGTTCATTGGTTACCTTAACACATGCACATTTATTTCTTTTTTACACGACGTGTTTACAAGAGGGTTACCCTAACAAGAGGGTTACCCTAAAGGCTACCTGCCTTGTAAACGCTTTGCTAGGGATAACTCGCCCACCCGGGACAACTTTCCTCCGTCATGCTTTGACCAGTAATTTTGACAATTTAAACGGAATTATCCAATTTGTGAGCTAAATTATAAACATCTGAACATAGTAAGGTATGTTCTGTATACGATGATAATATTTTTCCGTTTTTCGTGAATTTAGCGTGTTTTTCATAGTTTTATTTCAAATCTTGGACGTTACAAAGAATGTCACGCATCACGAAACACGTCAGTAAAGCTAGTAAAGTTGACCGGGGTGATAGGGTAACCTAGCTTAACTTGTAAACCAGAGCCCAGTTGTTCAAAAATGGGTTAAGATAACCCAGGGTTAGTGCGAGATTTGAATTCAGATTTGAAAGCTTAAAAAGCATTTCAGTTTTAATTCTTGTTGTCTACAAGTTGATGATTGGAAGCTCTAAAAATAGCACAGAAAATTATACAAGAAAATGCTTTTGAACACAAGAAAAAGAAACCCAGGTCAAGCGCTAATCGGCCTTCGAACAACTCGGCCCAGAAGACTAAATTTAACCCGCTTAAGCTTTGTTTTAGGGAAAGCATGTCAATCAGTCTTAATCATATTGCGAGGGGAAAAAAGCCTCAAGGTAAAAAAGAATCATTTGCGGCTGAAGCTTTATTTTACTTGAAGAGTAAATTTCCTTGTCTTGAAATATTTCTTAGTAATCGAGAAAACAAATTAAAATTTTCCTTCAGAAAACACGTTTAAAATTCGGCTATGAAATCGCAACAAGTGCACCTTATGTGTACTGTAGGTTATTCGTCATTTCCACCCCTTTAATTTCAAAAAAACTGCGAAACATTGTCAATTAATTATTTTCAGTTTTAAGTTACTGCTGGCTTTTTATATAGTTACTTTCTTTGTCTACCTTTGGATTTCAGATGAATACTGAAGTCCTGAGAACTGAAAAATTAAATAACATTTTGCTGCTTTTATTACTGTATCACATTAAAGTTTTACGGGTAAAGCACTTGAACCCAGGATTCAGGTTATTCATCATTTCCATATCTTTAATTTTCAATAGTTTACTTGGAAAATTTGTCGATTAATAGTTTTCAGTTATGAGTTACTGCCGGCTTTTTACATGGTTACTTTCTTTGTCTACCTTTGGATTTCAGAACAATACTGAAGTCTATATTGTCTGGGCTATGCACTCAACTATGGATGCCAAGCCAGCGTCGGGAACTTTAAGCCCAAAGCACAGTATCAAGGGAAAATCAGGAAATGCGCGAAACCTGACCGCTGAGGCCATGGCTGCAGCGATGACACCTACCACCACTACCATGATAGTGCCATCCACATCTGTTGTTTCTACGCCTCAACCAACAGGTAATGACAGATGTCAATATAGATAATCAAGAGACTATAAAGGGGACAGAGAGGGCATCCCCCATATACACCCTATTCCATAGGTAATTCGTCTCGAGTTATTTTTAACAACACAGATCTCAAGGGGGATTAGACAACAGCCAATCACATAGCGCGAATGTGTTCCGCGTGGATGACCCACGCAGAGAGCCACGCGTCCTTCAGGAAATGACGCAGAACAAAATGGGGGAAGACGCGGAGAGCGATTTTGCTATTCCTTTTGTCGACGAAAACGACTACAGCGAGATTTCTGCGAAAGCTGTGTCAGCGAAACCGAAATTAAAAAAGAATCGCCCTTCCTCTCTTGTATAGAGCTAACAGTAGAGCAGGGAAATCCTTAACACACTGAATATTCTCTCAGGATCATTTATAATTTACAGTTTGAAGAGAGCAATTTCTGGTTTGATGTTTATTTTTTTCAGTCTTTATAGCGATTATTCCTACCCACTTACTTTGTCAATTGTAGGCGAACCCTCCTAAAGCTGAATTTCAAGGGACCATATTCAAGCTCAGAAAGAGAAATAAAATTTCGTCGTTGCTTATTTACGTCCTCCATAAAACGCGAAATTAGGCATTTTCACGTCGTAGTCGTGCAAAAACGGGAAAGAAATGAACAAAAAAGTGTGTTGCACGTGCGAAGTTGTTGTTTTGCTAATTAAACCTATTGTTTTTTTGACGTTCTAGTTGTCGTCCGCGTCGTTGGATCTTAAACTCCCTAAATTGTACAAACGACCGGTTTCAATAGACCGGCGAAATTTCTCATTTTATTAAAGCACTGAGGTTACGACAACTTCGAGTTAAACTGATTTCACGGGTTGTCAAAGAGTCCAGCGATTCCTTTTTCCCAGGTGAGCGCCGACTCATTTCGCTTCAATATTCAGGAATGCTCTCGATCTTTTTACGCTTTCATTGCCTCTCGCCCGACATGTTTTGCACGGCGTTTGGTCATGCGAAACCTCCACGAAACATCCACGCCTCGCGCGAGGTAACTTTATCCCGATTCTAAAAATAACTCGAGACGAATTACCTATGGAATAGGGTGTATAGGGGGGATGCCCTCTCTGTCCCCTTTATAGTCTCTTGAGATAATACAGTCTCAGATTCTAATTAACTTGATTACTTCCCGCAATTGCTGGCAGTGGAACCTCGATATAACAAAGGGCCAAGGAACTGGCAAAATTTGTTTTCTATAACAAGGTTTAGTTATATCGAAGTTCGTTTTCATATATTTTACTATTACTGAGGTAAAGAAAATCGTTCGTTATATCGAGGAAATCCTTACATAGAGGTTCGTTATATCGAGGTTCCACGGTGACTTTTCGGGCCCGAAATCAAATTTTCAAATCGAAATAAAACGAATAAGAGCACGGGTCCTGGCTAGCAAACTTCTCCATTTTGTTTCATTAACTGATGTTTTCATCTTGTTAAATGCCAAACTATTGAAACCTTTATCTTGCTGGAAGCAACAACAGCTTTACGAGCCCGTTGATTATCGGGACTTTCGAGAAACGGGTCCCAGGACATATTGATACTGAAATTGATTTTGTCTCAGGCAACGCTTGAGGGGACTAAATAACACTTTTAATTACTCGTTTGACCAAAATAAATCTCCATTTCCGATTGGCTAAAATCGCAGGCATAATTCATGATAATCAGCTTCTGTTGACCAGAATTCTGTAGAAGTCTTCATATCCTACTTAGCCTTATTCATAGCCTGGCAAAACAGCCGTCACTCCTCGCTACTCGCCGCTGGGGACTTTTCGCGAGGAGGAATGTCTGCGACTCAGCGACAGAAATTCCATACTGAGACGTACTCTGAGACGGTTTCGCTACTTGTCTAGTTCGCTACGTTCGAGTTCGCTACATGTTCGCTACTAACATCCAATGTCGTGCCGAAATGTTTGGCCGAGAGGTTTTGGTGCACGTCCCAGTCCTTACAAGTCCGAATACCTGTTCACTTTTCATTAAAGTGTGGCACAAATAGCCTCACCCACAAGTAGTTCGGGAATACGTTTTGGCAACTTTTGCCGTTTTTGCTTTTGATTTTGATTTTGGGAGCAACTGGATTAAAAATTTAGCAACTTATGGTAATACTCCTTAAGCCTTGTAAACATCCTGAAAAAGAAAATTTGAGTGTTTTAGATAATTTTTTAACAACGTGGGAAGTCCTTCACATTCATCAAATATTGTGCCGTAGTGTTTGGCCAAGAGGTTTTGGTGCACGTCCCAGTTCTCACTCTTGAATTCTTTACTCCCGTTCAGTGGGTTCCAGTACTTGCTCCTACTTTATCACTTCCGATAAGGTCCGAATACCTGTTCATTCTGCATTAAAGTGTGACACAAATAGCCTCAACCACAATTTTCTTGGCGACTTTCTGACAACTTCTGCTATGTGGAGGAGCCTTTGATTTTGGGAGCAACTTGATTAAATTTTTAGCGACTTATAGGAAAAACGAAGTCCTCTAATACTGCTTAAGCCTTGTAAAACATCCTAAAAAAGAAAATTTCAGTGTTTTGATGTTAGAGATAACAAATAACAACGTGAGAATTTAACCCTGTGCGCAAACCCCCCCCCCCTCCCCCATACACACACACACACTCATCCCCTTCTTTAAGTGGACTACCCGGGGTTTGAGATCAATGGTTTGGAAATGGAACCACGCTTTTCAAAATGGCGACAAACATCTGACTTCTCCGCCTTTGAATGAAAAATAACCCTAGCAAAACAGAAGAATACTTGCACAATGAAACCTAAAGAGAAAAAGATTTTGGTCTGAGAGGATTTTCGTTTCAGAAAGTTCAGTTGTCAGAAGAAAAAATGATATTTCACACTTGCTGTACATTTAAACGTTACCCGCCGTAGATTTTTAAAAGAATTTTGGAGAAATTTTTAAGTAAATTTGGAGCAACTGGAGGCCGAGGCTAGGAAAAAATCTATCCGATAAGTGACGCTCCACTTGATCGAAGGGGATGCATGCGCGCAGCTTCGCTCCGTTACAGAAATCGCGTCGAAATCACCGTTTGATATGTGAACAGAAATTCTATCCGGTATGATTTTTGTGCCGACGCCAGGGCTATCAGGTTTTGTGTGAATATGGCCTCAATCACTCCAGCCAAACATTTTTAAATCATCACGACTTCGTAGCCGGAATTCTTCTTCTCGTAACAGAAAGTGTTTATTACCATTATCATTATCATTATCATCATTATCATTCACTGTTTAATTTTCTTTTTGTTAGACGCTCTTTTAATTCCCAACGCCGTAGTCGTTAGTGGGAGCATCACGATCCTGATTCACAGCCTACTGTAGATAGTTGATAATCAGGACCGTGTAAATTCGTACATTCGGTCGCGCGTGATAAATGACCATTTACTGGTGTAGGGTTGAAATAGTTATTTATCCTGGTCGAAATGTTTTTCTGTCATTTCAGCTGCGGCTACATTTTGAATTCAAAATATTTGTTTTTAGCCCCAAAAATGAGGCCCATTTTGGCAGTTAAATAATAACAATAACTTTTTTGAGGCCTTATTTTGCTATCTAAACTCAGGGAAAATTGCTTTTTCTTCAGGAATAACACCTACCACCAGTACCATGGTAGTGCCTTCTTCCTCAACTGTTTCTACGCCTCAATCAACAGGTAATGTAGACTAGCAAATATTCATTTCTGTTAATCTAATTGTAAGAACAAGTTATAGCTAATCAAGATTTACCTTGTTCCTCCAATATTATAAAAAGCGAGTTGTTGACATTGTTTACCAGGCATATTGTCAGTAAACTTTAAAAAAAAACTTTGTCTTCTCTCAGAGCCGGGGAAAATGAAAAAATTAAAACGAACATTTTAATGAAAGAGTTACTCGTCTATGTCTTATTTAATCATGATTACTTGTGTCAAGACCGCCAATTATAAATTTCAGCGATCCAGCTTTAAAATAACAAATATCAAGGGAGGATGACGATATATGTATAAGAGATGGACAAAGACTTGTTACTGTATAAACCCTGTTTCAACAAGACACTGCATCTGATCTGAACATTGACTATATGGAAGGTTCTAATACAGATACCAAAACTGAGCTTATGCCAGACAAAAACTTGGAAAATCTTGGAAAATATGTGAAGAACTGCAAATAATAAAAAATGTTTAAAAAAGATATGAGTTAAAACATTATGATTCAGGCCATGAGCTACCAAGGAGAATTATTATTGAAAAACAATCTTGATTTTTAATATGTTCACTGACATTCAGGAGAGAATGAGCACATTTTCTCTTGTTGTATCTTATTCCTGACCTAACTGTGTCAATACCAAAATGCGTGAATCTGATTGTTTTTAACAGCACATCATATAGCTTAATTTTGCTATTGTAACTTCAAAACCGTCCGATTACCAGGAGCTTGTAATCGGACAGGTCAGACAGGTCAAAAGGACCGTTAAAGAACCAATGAAAATCAATTTTAAGCAGCAAATGCCACTAACCAATGAAATTTAACTACATAGCACACGATAACCAATCAAAATCAATGAAAACATTGTGACCAGGTATTTTAGGGACTGTGCAATAATTACCTGGAGGGGTGGGTTGGAAAATGAGAGAGGGGGGCGTAGGAGAAAATAACAACAAGAGAGAGGTGGGGTCGGATGTAAAATTTAATACATACAGGGGGGGCATTACTTTTTCATTCCTTTTTGCAAACTGGAAAAGTAGTAGAAGAGTTATTAGAGTTCAAATATAAATACTAACTGGAATAAAACTGACAAATTTATTAACTCTAAGGTGTTCTGATCTATGAACTGTTGTTTTCCCATCTGTCATGCAGTAGGAAAGGAATGCCTCTGTTATATATGTTAAAACAGTGCTACTTTATTTGCACTAGGACTTAATAAAACAGGAAACTTTAATTAAAAGTTGCAAAAGTAGCAGTATAATGTTATTCAATAAAAAAGAAAGATGCCAATGTTAGCACACATGGCATCATAATTTAGTAGAATGAAAAACCCAACTGTTGAAATTTTAATAGCAATACAAATTTTAAAGTAATACGTCCGCACTATACTATCTGAGAGCCTGGCACAGGCTACACCAAGACCCAAACGAAAACAAAACCAAATGATCTCCGAGAGACTAGACAACCATTAAAAGGAAAAAATAGGCCACAGTTTCAACGCATGTTGGAGCCTGTGAGCGAAATATTTGGGATATATAACAAGTTTAACAAATTGATAAATAAACATGCACCTATGAAAACAATTTCAAACCGCAAAGCAAAACAGCTCTCTAAACCATGGATTACCAAAGGTATAAGAATCTCCATTAAAGTTGAAAGTAAGTTATATGCGTCTGGTAACACCGCCAACTATAAAATCTGTAGGAACAAAATTTGTACCTTAACGCGTTTAAGTAATTTTTTCTAAATTTGTTAATGATAACTTAACTACTATGGAAAAAACATGGGACGGAATAAATAATGTACTTGCCCGTACATTGAAGAACACAAAACCTATAACTGTTATTAAAGACCCTAATAACAATGATTCTGTCACCATTGACCTAAGTACAATAGCCGACGTTCTTAATGACCATTTCGCTTCTGTTCGACCTAAACCCGCAAATACGTTAGAAACCGTTCAGCGTAATTATTTTGATTATACGAACGGATCTAACTCTCGTGACTCTTCGTTTGCTTTCAACCTACAATACTCGTCACAAATTGTTGAAACAGGATTCATTTGTCTTGAATTTTCTCCAAATTTCTTACATTTACTCCTCACACCTTTGTTCTCACTCAAATGTGTCCCTCTCCTTCCACAATGTTGAGCCGAGCGTATTTTGGACCACTGAAATGACTGCAAGCCCAAATCAACATTGGGGAGGGGAAAATCACACAAGTGTTTCAAGATTTGTGACAAGGATTGTAGTTACCCCAAACTGTTAACTGTTGTCATTTATTATTAGTAATAAAGTTAGCTTATCAGTAGTCTTCAGTCATTGTTGTCAATTTTAGTTTTTTTAGTTCTCTTGTTACTTTTAGTTGTATTTAAATGTATTTATTTCCTGTAAACATGACCCGCCTAGATTAGCTAAGCTACCTGCGGGCATGTTATAATTGTACTTTTAGCTCAAAACACAATAAAAAATGCATGTATGTATAAGATCGTGTAAGTCACACGAATAGTACATTATTTTAGCGTTTTGGTAAGAAACAGTTTTCTTCATGATCTTTTTAATCCTTATCTCTTTGTTAAGCAGCCACGACCGTTAGTTTCGGTGATAAATTTATGCTGACTTGGATATACAGCAACAACAAGTTGTTTTTCACATTGAGATGCAAAACCACTGGTTGGTGTGCAGTTGCCTTTACAACAGGGGATGGTAGCGGCATGAAGAATTACGACATTGCCTTGGGCGGGGTCGCTTCCAACGGCAACTATCTTGACGTAAGTAAGATGGAGTTTCATTCCCTATAAGAACTACCCTGCATGCTTTTGAACATTTGACGTCCTCCAGATGGGCTAGTGTATTGAATAGCGTTTCCAAATTTACAGTAAGACCCAAGGAAATATTATTATTACTAGTGGTTTATACAACACTGAGATCACTATATATATGCATACATACTACATACATACTTTATTAACGTGACTAACACTTAGCTATAAAGCTAGTTTACGGGTCAGTCGATACATAGCAACGATATAAACTGTTAACATAGTCTTGAGTCAACAAGGAGATAGATATCGCTTATATTTGTGCCTATACCGCAGCTATGTAGCGGTAGTTAAGTGCGTAAGTTAGTCCGCAACGGATACTAAATGTTCATAACAACAAAATCTGCTATTATAAAAGATCTAAAAAACCTTTTATGTCGTCAAAAAAAGATTCTTAAATAAAACAATTCAAAACGCAGTTTTTAAGACAAGATCTCCGAACAAGAAAAACCTGGTTAGATTAGAAAAGCGAACGATCCACTGAGCGTGAAAATGAGGACGTAAGTGAATAGAAATAAGGAGACTAAGGAGACTAAGGATACTATAGACAGTGTTCGTATGTTGGCTGAAGAGAAAGACATCATGACCTTGAAAATCGTGCGTAAAAGGCCATACCAACAGTCCAATAATGGGCAACAGGTCTCAGAAATATCGCACACAGCACGAAGTTCTAATTTAAGATTTAATACCGTAAAAAGTGACGGCCTGTGTTAAAGAGGTAAATAAGAGACTTTGTTTCTTTACCCGTAGGATTACTGGAGCACCTCAACGACAAAACCATCAAAGGATAGTGCAAATAACTTTGTTATTAGAACTGCAACCGAGGCTGGTGGATATACAACAGTGCAGTTTGAGAGAGATCCAGAGACAAGCGACACTGATAACGATGTTCAGTTTAAGGTAAGTTCTTCCTTTTTTGAAATTCCATCTCCGGGTGGGACCGTGGACACCAATTCCCATACGCCCCACCCGGAGATGGAAAGGAGCGGGAGTTCGGGTACAAAAGCGAGCCATCCCTACGGGGAGGAAGTGCGCCAACCTGTTTACAGGTGTCCGTGTCAACGAAGAGAAGGAAAAACAGGATAAAATACGTCTATTTACACTAAATTCGTAAATATTGTGTACAGCCGGTTTTCCTGTGGATCCACAGATAGCGGAATTAAATACACAGGTCCAAAAGGCAAAGGGGCGTTTGTTTGTGACGGCCCCGAGTGAGAATAGGCATCCAAGTTAAATTTAGTCCTCGACTATAGGGAGAAAAGTAGTCTTCCCTGGACAGAGGGTTACCTTCCTAGCCGAGTCATCTTTAGCGCGGAGCCATGAACAAACCAAGAGCTGACAACAGCGCAAGTGCATGCCTGCCTTGACTGAATTGGCCCGGCTTGACGAGCCAACTTGATTATATGGAGAAACGTTGACCTGACCAACGAAATATGTAACCTGGATAGGCCTGTCATCCTACCAGCCGAGCCAACTCTTTGATTCTCGTTAACAGTTCACCAAGTTTTTTAAGGTAATGTAGGAAGATTTGGCTGGCCCAAGCTCGGGTAGCCAAGTGACCCTTCTATCTCTGACAAGTCTTCTCCATACATACATAAATTACATGTTTTATTTGGATTCTTAGCCCGTGGGGGGGGGGTTCTTGGGTTAATTTTTCCTGGGTATGTGCCGCTGGCCTCTGATAGCCCCTACTCCATTATAGTCTATTTTGTGGCCAATTATAGACCCCATCTTAGTCACTTTTGGGCAAATATGTAATTTTCGCGATCCTAACTTACTCACTTTCTATTTTTATGAATTGACCCATTTTTTAAACTGAATGAAGAACGCTTTACTTTTCAGCTACAGCACAAACATTCTGGTACGTTTGCTAACCGTAAATTTGAAGAACTGTCTTACACCAAAAAATCCGAAAATGTGCGACCCCATTCTAGTAACTCAATTGAAAATGCTACCCCATCCAGCGGCACATCCCCATTAGCCTCTTATAAGGAGGAACCCTCCCTCGCGGGGGCCTTAGGAACTTGCTGCTGTTTCAGAAGTTTGAAAATAGCATGAAATTCTTTACATATATCTTTATGTAGCCTGGTACTGAAGTCATGATTGCGTGGGCCATGCACAGCTCTATGGATGGAAATAACGATATTTCCAGGCACACCGAGAAAGAAGTACTACCAACCAAGTACATACTGGTCCCAGGTGCGGCAAATACGCTGAAGTCACGTGTCATGCTTTCTGCGATCCTCGCCGCCATTGTTGTCTATTTGGTGTCCTAATGAGAGACATTTACTTAACACCACGTTGAATGAGACTACCATGGCACTTTTAAAACATTTTTAAATTACTATGACTTCGTAATGCCGACGGTTCATCCTAAAACAAGAAGTGCTTTTTGTTAGAAGCACTTTAATTTTCCAACACTATCTAAAAGTAGTAATAGTTGACACTACAGCTGCCCCCGCTCTGTATATTGTCGGTCAATAGCATTCTTGCTCGTTGTGTTGCTCTTTGAAATATACCGATTCATAAGGAAGATTTTCAAACATATTCCATACAATAGGTGAGGTAAATACAGGAAATGCGTGGTTCCATGCACAGTTTCAGGTCGATTTACACAGCTTTGATCAAAACATTCTCAGTTTCGAGAATAGCTTATTCTAAACCATAAGAAAATATTTAATTAGAAGTTGAATTTTTCGCTATTTCTCTTCACTTTTTACATTCAGTTCAAGTTATTTACCGGAAAGGAAGCCTTAGAAATTAAAAGGACGTTTGATCAATTCACACTTGCGCATTCTAGTCTTATTTTAAACGTTATAGCGGAAGGACATCTGTGAGCAGGGAATAAATCAGCACAGAATTTGATTGTAGGCGAATTTCTGTAATCGTCCATCGTTCTGTTAGTGAGAATCTAGCCGTTGTTCACTCGTCTTGCTTATTTGATTGGAGCTGAGTCTTATTCTGGTCAAAGAGAGAGAAAGAGTGTCTGGCAAGGTTTCCAATGAAAGATTTGTGAACTCGTGTCTGGCACACTCTTTAAGTGTTTATATATACACAGTTATACGCACCTTATAAGTTCCTCTGCGCTTAACGAGTGTAGTCAAAATTTTGGTCCATAACTTTCACTGAAACAACTGCTCCACAGAATGTCACTGATAACACGTAACGCAAAAGAGTGTCGAAGTATGACTGCATAATAAATTTAACAAAATCTACCTAAGCGGTCCCTTTGGGATGATCTGTCTTTACGTCATCCTAACCATTTCGTACTTGCGTGCGCAAACAATAGAAACCTCATCATTACCTCCTACCGATTCCTCGCGGCCCCTGTTTAATCAAATCGAGAAAAATTTGATAAGATTTGACGAATTGACCAAAGATGGAATAAGCGCGATAAAGTTCGAAGCGATGCGAATTCGCTTTCAAAGCCGTCTCCGTCATTGTTGTTTGAGCTCCCCTAGGTGAAAACGGTTAAATCCTTCCTTCCTTCTAATATGAACTAATTTAGTTTAAAACTAGAAGTTTTAAACAGAATTAGACTTCAAAAGTTTTACTTTGTTTGTTAGTACTATTTGTCACATATTTAGCCTAAAAGTAGTGATTTCATTAGCCTTTACCTGCAGTTTTTTAATCGTATTTCAAAGATTTTGTCTCAGTTTGCGATATGATTTTGTATTTTTACATTTGATGTAATAAACTGTGCAAACGGATTCAAGTCATTAGCTGTGTTTGAATTATTTCTCCTTGCACACATATACACAGCACTTCCAATTTCAAGCCTTCAGAAGGTAGTTTTTAATCTATTGTGAACATCACATAACCTGAAGTAATGAAACCGTCGCTTTCCTAGTGCTTTTTCTATAGGCTCTGTTTTAGTGATTACTTGTTTGGTAGCCTTTTTGCCATTTTTTCCTTCAACTTTTAAACGGGGCCTCTCCCTCCCTCGGCTAAAACATTTATTCGCATCAATTGCATTACAAATTGAAATAATGCCTCAGTTTTGTCACTAAAGACTGTTTTTTATGCATTGAAACCAAGAGAGGATAAAGGGGACAGAGAAGGCATCCCCCATACACACCCTATTCCATAGGTAATTCGTCTCGAGTTATTTTTAGAATCGGGGTAAAGTTACCTCGCGCGCTGCGTGGATGTTTCGTGGAGGTTTCGCATACCTAAACGCCGTGCAAAACATTTCGGGCGAAAGGCAATGAAAGCGTAAAGAGATTGAGAGTATTCCTGAATACTGAAGGGAAATGAATCGGCGCTCACCTGGGAAAAGGGAATCGCTGGACTCTTTGACAACCCGTGAAATCAGTTTAACTCGAAGTTGTCGTAACCTCCGTGCTTTAATAAAATGAGAAATTTCGCCGGTCTATTGAAACCGGTCGTTTGTACAATACAGCAAGTAGGACGCCAAATGTTATTTTTGTTAAATAATAAAAGACTAATAAAAGAATAAATATCAAACCAGAACTTGCTCTCTTCAAACTGTAAATTATAAATGATCCTGAGAGAATATTCAGTGTCAATTCCTAAAGGGACGACATGACAATCGAGATATGTTCTCTCCTTCCGCGATTCCTTTTTAATTTCCGTTTCGCTGACACAGCTTTAGCAGAAATCTCTCTGTAGTCGTTTTCGTCGACAAAACGAATAGCCATATCGCTCTCCGCGTCTTCCGCCATTTTGTTCTGCGTCAATTCGTGAAGGACGCGTGGCTCTGAGTGTGGGTCATCCACACGGAACACATTCGCGCTATGTGATTGACTGTTGTCTAACCCCCTTTGAGATCTGTGGTGTTAAAAGTGACTCCAGACGAATTACCTATGGAATAGGGTGTGTATGGGGGATGACTTCTCTGCCCCCTTTATCCTCTCTTGATTGAACCTGTTTCCTGTCTTCTGTTGCTAAGGGTGGCAAGTGGAAAAAGATTGAAAAACTTGAAGAAATCTGGCCAACTTTTACACGTTTTTTTAATTATTATTATTTTGGGGGGGGCTATGCCTTCAAAAATCACCAAAAAATGTTATGGTTAGTGCTCTCTGATAAAATTTGATTGATATCTTCTTCTTAACTCTAAAGAAGCGTTTGTTTGTAGGTAAAGGCACTAATGACTTAAGAAGAGAATTTAAAGATTGGGCATAAAACATCAACAGTGTAGCTAGTTTCAAGTTTTTTGAGCTGAAGTCCCTTATTTTCGAAAGTGTCTTGGATATTTTGATGATTCTGATACAAGGTGGATTATACATTTCCTGACTCGCACTTTTATATCAAAGGCTTTCGACTATACTGCAAAGATCGTGACTGTTTTGTGGATGGTGTGTTCATTTATGTCAGAAGAGGACTGATTGTGACTAGAATACATGACTTGGAGGAACATAAAGTTGAATCAATAACCGCCTGTGTGTGCAAATGTCCAGGCCCCAGTTGTTCAAACTTTGGATAGCGCTATCCACCAAATAAATAACTATCCAACGGATAAGTGTTAGGGAAACCGATTGCGCTATCCACTGGATCGTGATTTATCCGGTGGATAGCGTTATCCATCTTTAGAACAACTGGGGCCAGGAGATCGAAAAAGCTGCTTCTTACCAGTATGTACAGACCACCAGGCTTATTTTTAAAAAGCTTTATGGAAAAATGAAATTAATAGTATTCGTCTTCGAGCAACGGTACGAGGGTATAATGCTAATTGGAGACCTAAACTGCGACTTCTCCCGGCCCGTGACAAGGGTACTAAAGAGGGTAAAACTCTCATGGATTTGATGCTAGTATATGGTCTCACTCTTTGGTTAAAATACCAACTGGTATGGTGGTGGACTTTATCTCGCTCATTGATGTAATACTTACGAACAAGCCACGCTCTGTACTTTCTTCAGTCTTGGAACAGTTGTAAAAGTGCCACTTGAATGGATATTAGTACTTGAATGGATACTAGCGGAGACCTGTCCTATCTTCAAGAGAGATGATGAGTTTGACGAGTTCAAATTCAGAACTGTATCCATCCTAGTATTGTTGGACAAGGGTTTTGAGAGATATGTGCAAAAACAGCTTGTTCAGTACTTCAATCCGTATTTATCTAAATTTTTTCAGCACATAGAAAAGGCTACAGTTGTGAGTCTGTGCATGTTTTTGCTTCTTATCGAGGACTAGAGAGGAGCTCGTGACAAGAGTTCTGTGGTTGGAACTGTGATAATGGACTAAGTGATTTGATTTGATTTGATACCACCAACTTATTACTTTCGAAGCTTTCTGCTCATGGTATTTCTACCCATAGTTTAAACTTAAAAAAGACGTATTTAACAAATCGCAGGCAACGGGTTCGAGTGAAGGACGTTTCAAGTGATACCCCATATGTTAATAGCAGCGTTCCCCAAGGGTCCCTTTTAGGACGCTTATTGTTCAATATCTTCATTAATGACTTATTTTACTTCGTCAAAGAGGTGAACTGGTCTAACTATGCTGATGATATTCAGCTGTATTTTTCTGATACTGATCCAGCTGTTGTCGAACATGTTCTCACCAAGACAGGAACTTGTGGTGGTATGTGAGTGGTTTCGCAATCTCTCGCGCGCGGAGCACCATGGGTAAGAAAATTTGGTTATATAAATATGCATCCAAGAAATCTTGGCTCTGACAAAATCGCGGGTACGTACGTTGAAATGGTTTTCTTCTTGTTATAGGTACATTGTATAATTAACTAAGAGTATTAACGAATGCCAAAACTTCACTTCCGGTTTCACTCAGTTTCCTATAAGCCCAAAATAACTAATCCTCGCACGCCGACCATTCGGCGTTCTGCAAATATACCCCTGGCAAAACATTAACTTGTCGCTTGCCCAAATTAAAAACCTAAACCCACAAATCAGCGATCTTTTATGCTTCACTCTCGTCTCAGTGATCTGACGGGGCAAAGATAAGTCACTACAAACCCCAGGCGAGCCAAAAATAATATTTCTTTTTTCCTCAAAACTAAACAACTCGAGCTGATCTCGAGATATCTCGAACAACTACCGCCCTCACTTCGGCAACAAACTGGAAATTAAAGAAATTTCTTTACTACCTCGTGATATCTAGAACTCATTCCGGTTTCACTACGTAAAATACACGAACCAAGCCGAGAAGTCACCAGCTTATCCCGTAACTCATGCATAAATTATAGCTATTTTTCACATATCTCAAATTACCTTGGGTCGCGGTGGCGACTTTTCTAGATTCTCTAGGGACAGTTTTAACGCTGATCTCTCTTGAATGTGGACTGGAATGCACTCTTAAA